GGTCTTCATTTCTTAGAATATTCCACCGTCATAAGCAGAGAGACTATCTAGAAATAAAGCCAATAGAAGGGATTGTAGAGCCCAGAGATTGAGATACTGAGTCCTGTCAATGTCATTAGAGCTCCTGGATCCAGCCATGCCTGAAGGCAGTGCCTCTGGGTTTCCCACTTATGGGAACTAGTAAATACCCCTTCTTACCTAAGCCAGATTGTGTTGTGATTTTGTCATTTAAGTCCCAAAGAGCCCAACTGATTCAATTCTCTCTCCACTAACCAGAATTTTACCATCTCCTTATAATGTACTTATAGGAAACAGTGCAAAAAGAGTAATAAAACTTAGAATGTTCTACGGAGAAGGAGCCCTGCATTGAGTTCAAGTATAACCATCTCATTCTACAGATGGGAAAACTAAAAAGCTCGTCAGGAGGTGCAGTAAGTATCCTGATGGTCAACCAGTAAGTAGGCAGCCAAGTACCAGCACTAGGTCACAAACCATCTTCTGCTCAGGCCCTCTCGGCAGACTTCCCACTGCGAGGTGTTGAGAGTTTTCTCCGAGGCTGAATGAGGTCAAGTCAGCCCAATTCATCCATGTAAATACAAGTGAATCCCCATCTAAGCTGGGCTGGCAAGAGACATGTCCACCTGAAGTCAGACTTTTTTTCTTGGACTCCATAATACCAGGTATCACTTATTTATAATCCCACTGAGTATCCTACTCGGGTGTCTCAGCACTTCTGGGCACAGACCCTTGGGAAGGAATAATTGTTTTCGGTTATGAGGGTACCCAAAGGCTCAAGGGATATAATTGACATCTCTGAGTGGCTGTCACTCAGGACAACTGCTCTATGCGGTGGCCTTGCCCAGATACAGTTCCAGTAGCCCCAGGGATTTTTCTAGCAGCTTGGAGTCCAGTCTTTTTGCCCGTTTCTCTTTTGCCCCAATAATAATCATAGTCATGAGTAAAATGGGGTTAATGATAGAATCTACCTCCCAGGGTTGCTGGTGAGACTAATGAGATAAGGCATGTGAAGTGCTTAGCACCATACCTAACACTAGCAAGTACACATTAATATAACTTTAGTAACTATACTGACAACCACAGTAACAACAGCTAATGTGGATTAAACAGTTACTATATGCCAGGCACTGTACCTATTAGCTGTTGGATGGTCTTTGAGTGACCAGATGTCTGATTCTAGTACTTTTTCAATCTAGCCTGATTACCTTTATCAAGCCCTGGGGTTCCTGGTCCAGGTTCCTGGAAAGTGGGTGAGCTTGATTTTCTGACCAACCCAAACATTTTTCCGTTTTTATTTTCATCTTTTGCTCACCACCTACCCATCAACCCAACCACCCATTCATCCATCCATATACTCAGCAACCAAACTATCCAACTATACTTATCTACCCACTCACCCATCAATCCATGCACTCATTCACTCACTCATCCTTCTTTCCATTCATTCACATATTCTATCCACTATCCATCTTTCTACCCACTTATTCACCCATCTATCATTATCCAGCCATCTACCCATCCATATACCATCTGTCTTTCCATCCACCTGTCTATCTACCCATTCACTCGTCCATCTATCCATCCATCGATCGATCAATCTATCCATCCATCCATATGCCCAATCACTTACCCACCTAGTCACTCATCCACCTACTATCTACCCACCCATGCATCTACATACTCATTCATCCCACCACCCAATCACTCATCCAGCCCAAATATTCATGCATCTACCCACCACTCACCCATCCACCCAGCCACCCTACCCACTTTCTCAGCCATTCCTACCCATCTACCACCCAACATTTTGGGGTGTTTCCTACACACAATGCTCTGTGCTAAGCTGTGGCATGGTCTCTTGAGCTCCCTCCCTGGGAGGAAATGTGGACACGACCAGAGGGTCCCCACAGAGGGAGATAGGTAAACCTGCACATAGTCCGTTGAGCCCCTTCATGGCCTGGACTTTGCCAAAGCCACTGGCTTCCAGGGTCTGTTGTCAAACAATGATGAAATACAGGGTGAGGATGGACTGAGGCATGAGCTTCCAACAGAGCAATTAGAGGTAAACTAATACCTCTTCCCCACAGAAAAGCCTGGGAACTCCAAGACGCAGTAGAAAAAGAGTGAGTCAGCAAAAGGAGGAAATAAAAGCCACAGAGATCAAGGGCTAATTAACCGATTCTCCTAAGATATCATTAAGTCCAGCCCTCCTGCCCTTTGGAGACTGATCACTCTCCTACTTCCTTTCCATCGCCCTTGTCCACTCTGTCCTGACCTCATCTGCCTCCTCTCTCATCTCCCTTCCCTCATTTTATACTTCTTTGAATCCAACATCCCTGCTGCAACCAGGGTTGACCTTTAAAGGCACAAGTCTGACCACATCGCTCCCCTACTTATAATGCTTTATGACTCCTCACTGTCCAAGATAAATGACAATCTCTCCCAAGATGAGAAAAAGGCCATTCTTTCACTTATTAGCACATATTTCCCAAGCACCTATTAGGTGCCAAGCTTAGGTTGCATGTTGGGAATCCAACAGTGGTGAAACCAACCTGCTGTCCTGGAGCTCCCATTTAAACGGGAGACATAACCAGAGACATTTAAAAATAATCTAATATTGATACTCACTGTGAAGGAAATAAGTAAAAGTGTGAGAATAAGGATAATGGGGAGGAGAGGCAGCGACTTCAGCTCAAGAACTTCCTGAGAGAGTGATGGTGCTGATGAGTCTTAAGTCAGAGTGACCACCAAGCCATAAATATAGAAGGGAGAGCAGGTGCAAAGGCCCTGGGGCAGGTGGGAGGGTTGAAGGAGATGGAAGACGGCAGGTGTGGCCAGGGCAGAGTGTATGAGGGCAAGAATGGGCTGAAAAGGAGTAGGAAAGAAAAACAGAGGAGGAGAGAAAAACCGTGTAGGTGAGGGTTGTCTGGAGGTTTTTGGATTTCATAGCAAGAGCATTGACGGGTTTTAAGCAAAGAAGTCGTTGACCTGATTTTTAACTTCAGGATATAAAAGGCTGTTTTAGAACCTCTGAGGTCTCCGTTTCTGCTGTGCTCAGAGCCTCCAAACTGGGCACAATACATGACAAGCCCCTCATACCTTTTAGTAGTCACTCTTTATTTCTCCCCATACCTCCCGCCCCTTAACCCCTCGAAACTGCTAACCTACTTTCTGTCATTATTGATTTACCGATTCTGACATTTCACATAAATGGAACCATACAATACGTAGCTTTTTGTGACTGGCTTCTTTCGCTCAGAATATGTTTTCAAGATTCACCTGTATTGTACCATGTACCAGTACCTCATTCCTTTTTGTTGACAAACAGTATTCCATTGTATGAATGTACCACATTGTGTTTATCCACTCATCAGTTGATGGACATTTGGGTTGTTTCCACTTTCGAGCTATTTAATACCAACTCTTGAGTGGTTGTATTAATTCTGATATGGAACCTACCTTTCTGTGTTACGGGTATTCAAATGTCCTTTCATAGATTGACAGTGAAAGCAAATGACAAATGTATTTCTTAATGTCCTTACCTGGCAAAATAAAACTCTGGAGTCTTTCTCTTGACTTTTATAGTACAGGGGTCTGAAGGGTCAAAGTCCTGGAGCTGCAGACCTCTGATAGAAAGTCAATGGCTCAGAGAAGCCAAGTGTTGTCCCTTTGGCCCTGCATGTGGCTCAGACCATGACTGGTAAACAGAAGAGCATAACGCAGCACTTGTCAAGCTGGGGTGCAGTGCCCTTCTGCAGGCACATATTGGTCTCCTGGAGAGAAAGACTACATTTCCCAGCCTCCTATGCAGTAAGGAGTATCATGTGACTAAATTGTGACCAATGGGATAGAAACAGGTTTTCCCCCTCTTTCCTTCTCTCCCCTTCCTGCTGGCTGGAATGTGGACAAAATGGCTGGAGCTCAAGCAGCCACACTGGTCCCTGAGATGGAAAGCACTGGTTACAGATGCTGGAGGGACCAAAGGAAGAGGCCTGGTGACTGTGGAGATGCCACACCACCTCTGATCTCCTGCATCTGCATGAGAGAGAAAGAAATGTCTGCTGTGTTGAATGTAAACATTTTAACGTATAAAATGTTGCTGTGTTACTTTGTGCCTCCATGGCCCCCCACAGATGAAGGACATTTGCCTCTGGACACTTTTTTTTTTTTTTTTGGCCAAGCTGAGCGGCAGGTGGGATCTTAGTTCCCAGACCAGGGATGGAACCTGTGCCCCCTGCAGTGGAAGCACAGAGTCTTAACCGCTGGACCACCAGGGAAGTACCAGGACATTATTTTTACTCAAAGATTTGAGAGAAAAAAATGATTTTCCCTTTTCAGTTTTTCCCAAAGCTAATATAATTCATTTCTTCCTGGGAATTCCCTGGTGGTCCAGTGGTTAGGACTCCGAGCTTCCACTGCCGGGGGCTTGGGTTCTATCCCTAGTCAGGGAACTAAGATCCTGCATGCTGTGCGGTGTGGCACAAAAAAAAAAAAAAAAAAAAAAACTTCTCTTCTTTTTAATATTAAAATAAATGCATATATCTGCATGAAGGATAGGTAACATTTAGTGAACCTGTAAGACACTTTTTTGCTTGCCTTACTTTGGGCTGTGAGCCTCTTCCCCAAAATCCGCTAAGGGTACCCGGTCCCTCCTCTGCCATCAGGAGGATTGTTGATAGAAAGATCCTGAACACGGTCTCAGGAAGCAGGGAGGCCTGCATTTGAATCCCGTGTCTACTACTTATTAACCACAAGATCCTGGGCCAGCCACTTCACTTTCTGACCCTCAGTTTCCTCCTTTGTAAAAATGGAGATAATAATATATGGTCTGGAGGGTGGCTGGAGGTGCGACTTGATTCTGTCCACGAAAGGCCCTGTCCCAGAACCAGGCACATACGGACTCTGTGCTCCCTTCCCAGGCACTAACCTCGATATTCTGGACACAGCCAACTCTCAATCTGAAACACACTCAGAGGCAGTTCCACAAACAAGGGTGATTTAATGTATTTCAGCACATTTCGACTCGACAATATTACATAAAAATAGAATTCTTTGTTAAAACAGCAAGGTGGAAAAATCACTGCTACTCACGAAACACCGTCTTTAAGAAACAACAAACATACAAATCAGTGACGCCGAGAGACGATTCATCTCTCCAAGCTTGTTTTTCCATCTGGAGAATGGGCAGGTGGGATGTCCCCAGCTCACTGTGGGCGGGACCCACTGGTGGCAGGAGATGACCCTGGGCAGCCCTCGCCCCAGGCGTAATGCACGCCCATGTGGTGGGCAGCTTACTCCTCTTTCTCTCCCTTCCCCCCACCCCGTGACTGTCATGGACAGAGTCTCAGGGTGGTGCTGGTGTGGCCTTAACGCCACTCAAACATGTGTTTGTTTCATTTTGTAACAGAGAAGAGACAGAGCTCAGGCTCCAAGCCTTGGTGACGCCAGCGCAGAGGACCCCTCCCCAGCGGATTTCTTTCTCAGTCACTTTCTATTTCTGGCAGCAAGCGATACATGTTGTTACCGGCAGAGGAAAAAAGTCCCCTTTTTAAACAAATTTAAGTTTAAAAAATGAGACTGTTTAAAGGAAAATACCTGGTAAATAACAATACAAAATATAGCAAAAAATAATCATCACGATGATGGTAAAGAAACACTCCATTAGGTCAACCTAAGAATATTTCTGACATAGGTCCTGCAATTTCGTGATTCTAAAACAAGGTATGAAGAAATACAATGACATCTGGGTACCTTCCTAAATAACCTGTAGCAAGGAGCTAACCCACTCATCTCTCCCTCTTTTCTCTATAGCTTATATTTTTTAAAAGAAGAAAGAAAAAATAATAAAGATTGAAACAAAGGTGGGTTTAAAGCATTGTCTCCCAAGCTGTACTTCAATATCTCTGATACCAGCTGGAGCTGCCTGGTGGGAGAATCGTCTCTTCCTAATGATTGTGGCTCCAAGGTGTCACCTTTAAAGGGAAAAGGCCCTTCTTTGAACACAGGTGAGAATCTAGTCTCAGTGACAAAGCAGCCCTGATTTGGAAGGGGGAAATCAGAAGGGCTTTTCCCCAGCACACCAGGGTAGCAGCCACGTACAAGAGATCTTCCTGGAGCTATTTCTGCGGCCTCCTCCCTTCCCTTCCAAGCCAGGAAGGAAGAGGCAGCCGAGGGTTGCCATGGAAACTGGCTCCGTCCTCCCACAGGAGGCTGCCAGCCCTGATTTCCTGCAGAGTTAAGAAGCAGGAGGCAGTGGGGGTCACCCAGGCGTGAAGATGGGTTTCCCTGGGGATATCCCGCCTCCTGCCAATCACAGTGCCTGTCTGGGAATCCTAGGGCCGCCTGGAGGCTGAGGGCCAGGGAAGCCCCCAAGCCCCGGTGCCGCCCTGAGAAGAGACTAGCCCCTGGAACATTCAGAGATCTCAGGTCCTCTCTTCTCGCTCCAGCTAAAGCTACAGGGACCTAGCTATATGTGTGTATGCGTGTCCACATCTCATGAGATGCATCCACCCATGGGTGTCTCTGGCTCTGTCAGCTCTCTGATGCCAAACAGAACTGCCGGTCCACCACCCCATTGAGCCCAAAGAGCACAGAGCCACCCATCTAGCATTTGCTACTGGGACAGTAAGTCTGTTTGCAAAATTCTATCAGCTTACAAGCTGTGCGACTCTGGGCAAGTCACTTCACCTCTCTGAGCCCATTTCCTCAACTATAAAGAGGGCATAACCATCCTCTCTTTGCAGAGATGCCGTGAAAAGTAGAAATACTATATCTACTGTTCCTGTCACAGGCATTTAGAGGGTCCTCAATAAACAGGACCTAATATTAATACTTGTCATCATAATAAAAGTTTCCAGGCAATTTTTCTTTTTGATCTTTTTTTTTTTTTCCTAAAGCTGATGCAAAGGCAAGTTTTCATCACTGATCTGTTTGATCAAAGGGTGGTGCACCCAGGATAGGATGGACCATTGGTCTGAGAACCAATCAGCGGGTTCCCACCACCTCCTACAATATCACCTCTAAGAGTAGGAACAGGGTTCTCAAACTTGGGTGTCTTCGGGGGACAGGAGGTGCTGTGACTAGAAAAGCAGACCAAGTAGAAATCCTGGTGAACCAGAGCCCACAGGCCCCCGATAGGGAGGCAGCTGCTACTGAGCTCTGGCCAGTGGTTGCCCTTGGGAATATGGGCCCAGTGTGGACAGATCTTTCAAGTTTTCAAGAGAAGCTGGACATTTTGAATCAACTTTCCCAAAGATGACAAGATAACACTAATGTATTTTTTTTTTTAATGTAGGACAAACAAAACAGGCCTGCAATCTGGACGGTGCCCACAGCTGGAGCTTCTAAGCTAGAATGTAGGAAACCAACACCTCCTCTTCTTTGGCTTGACCAGTCCCAGCAGCCCTGGCCGCTTCCTTTCACTGGGGCCATCCAGTCGGGGCTGTGTCTTGCTAACTCCCTGCCTGAGTCCCAGCGCTGGGAACACCCACCCCGTCTGGAGCCCATAACTGTAGCGCACAGAAGCCTGGTCCTCAGAGCCCATCATCTGGAGGCTGCCCCCACTCCACACTGGGGATGCACCAGCATCGGGAAACCCTCCAGCATTTTCTCAAGGATCGGTGTGAACGGAGAGATGGGGGAAGTGTCTAGCAAGTGGGGTGCCTAGGAAGCCAGATATTGTAAGAGACTCTTCGGCTTTAGGTAGTTTAATAAAAATTTGCGGACAGAGTTTATTTCAACAGACACACTGCTAGGCCCAAATGGCCTTTTAGTGGCCAGCATCTGCTCTGACTGGTTAGGGTCTGGGCGGCAGCCCGTGGGAGCTGGGGGCAGAGCAGTGGGGTCTCCTAGTTGTGCCCCGTCTGCCCGAGCTTTAGTGGGTATCCTAAAGGTGAGAGGGGCAAGAGGGGCTGGGAGCGGAAAGAGCCTCATTTTGGAACTTAACCTTTGCAGCAGATAATCCGCAGAGCTTTTGGTGTCTTTTCTTCACTCCCCTTCTTTCCCCTCCCCCAGACACAGCCTTCTAGGAAAAACAGTAGGGAAGGGATAACGCTTGGCACCGTTGGGTGTTCAAAGCTCTGTACCCAGGCCGAACGCAGGCACAGAACTTTGGGCGGCTAGGGTCAGGCTGGGTGCGTGGAGTCCCATCTGCCCCGGAGCTCAAGGCCGGATGCGGTAACGGACAGGCACGTCGTGTTCCGGCTGCATCAGCCCGAAGCCGTACCTGCTGAGGTCAAACAAGGGCATCTCCACGTCCGGGCTGATCAGCTCCAGGTCAAAGCGCGCCAGCACGAGGAACACGAATCTGCAGAGAGACAGTGTTGAAGGCGTGAAGGGGGAGAGCGGGAGGCCTGTTTGGAGTCAGGCGGGAAAGCGATGGCGTCCTCCTGGGTCTCACCCCAGCTCTCACTTTGGTTAAAGTGGGAAAGGAGGGCGAGAGAGCAGAGCACAGGCATTTTCTGCTCACCAGTCCAGGAGCTCCCGAGTCCTGGCTGACGGCCTGTGAGCAGGAGTGACGTGGGTCAATTCCACATCAAAGCATTTCCGAGCCAGTGCCTGACTCTCCAGCTTTCTCTACTGCCTGGCAGCTGTGTGGGTTCCATGCTGAGATGATGGAGTGGGAAGATGGGAAGATCCTGGCCCCTGAGTCCCTGCACGGAGGGGAAGAGCCCCCCCAAACCCACAGCCAACGTTGTGTGAGTGGGAACTAAACCTTTGTTATACGAGCCACTGAGACTTGGAGGTCGTTTGACACAGCAGAGCACAGCCTAGCTTGTGATTAACACGGACAGTGACCCTTCCTGATTCTTCCCACCATACGCAGCCCAGACCCCCACCAAACTCCTGGAACCGTCTGCCTCGTCTGGGCTGCCGCTGAGCCACAGCTGCCTTTGTGAGATCAGAAGCAGGCACCCCTCCCTCCAGATATCTTACTGCTGTCTGGGGAAAACTGTTAGAATATACCAACTTTGCAAGAGCAGGCAGGCACTCTTTACTGCCACCTTCTGGAAAGCTGTCCTAATAAGTACACAAACCACGTGATGATGTAATCAGTGGGCCCCTAAATGTGGTGGCAGCCCCACCTGATGTGAACTGGTTCCACCTGCCTTATCTTACCACCACCTGTGTTAATAAAGGTCAGGCTGGATCCTCTACTACTCTGGACCTTACCACCCGCTCCCACGGTGAACCAGATGCCCAATGCCAGACAGATGCATGGCAGGGATTCTTTAATCTTATTGAACGAGTGAAAAAGAGGGAAGATGAGGACAGAGCAATGTCAATGTTCTGGGCAGGAGAGCTGGGCGCACACCTGGGCTCTGCCTTTTGTTTTTTGGCCATGGGATCTTAGTTCCCCTACCAGGGATCGAACCCATGCCCCCTGCAGTGGAAGCACAGAGTCTTAACCACTGGACCACCAGGGAAGTCCCTGGGCTCTGCCTCTTAAGGGCGTGTGATTCTTCCCACTCGGGGCCTCGGTTTCCCCATCTGGTCAAAGAAGGTCAACAAGGTGGGATGTATCCATTCCAGCTCTGAAGCTGCAGGATGGTAGAGGGTGAGTTTACATGGGTGGGGTGGCGGGGTGGAAGGTATCTGTACCCACACCTGGATTTGGATCCTGGCACCTCCACTCACCAGGTGCCTGACCGTGAGGAATGATTTGACCTCTGGAGTCAGTGATAGACTGACCAGCTGGCAGGTATCATGACAATTAACTGAGATTAAAATAATAACATATTAGCTCAATTATTGAACACTATGTTCCAGACACAGTGCTAAGCATTTCATATCCATTATCTCTTTTTATCTGTCCAAAAACTTTATGGAGTGGGAACTTCAGTCGGTTCTGCTGCAACACTTGTTTTGAACATGTGCATTTGTTCCAGTGGGATTGATCTATTAGGGCAAGAATGAAGCATAACACAAATTTTACATTTGCTTGTGGTCATTTCATCTGCAAGAAACACTGGGAGAATGAAAAACTGCACCCAGCTGAACCAAGCTGAGCAGGAATTCACAAAACGCACACACCAGTGGGTGGTGACCCACACCATTCTCTTCAGGCGTCCGACCTCAGATAACCCTCCTCCCGGGCTTCATCGTAACTCACAGCTCCATCCAATGCCCACTTGCATGGCAAACGTCAGGTCGTTTTCAAAGTAAAGCACCATATTTATTGGAGCACTTAGGTATTTCTGTTTATTCCATTTAACATGTGTAAACCTATACTACCGTATTTTCCTAGGTGCATATCTTTTTGTGTGTGTGTCACTGATGAAGTTTTTGAGGGTTGGGCCCCAGCCCTATTTCCCCCACAATCCTGTGGTTTTTACTTTGTGACTTCCCATGGTGCGGGGATTTTTAGCAATGCACATGAAGCGTTAGAGCAGAACCAACTGTATTATTATCTCCATTTTACTGTTGAGAAAGCTGAGGCCAAAAGCTTAATGTAATGTGCCCATTCACTAGCATAATGCCTAAACATTAATAATAGTAATATTAGTAATCACAAATAATAACTTTTATCAAATACCTACAATGAGCCAGGCAGTGGCTAAAGTACGTAGAAAGGTCCACTTCATTTGTCCCGACACCCCTGAGATGTAGTGTGGTCAGTACTCCTATTTTACAGTTGAGGAAACAGAGGCACAGAAGGTTACCCAGCTGGACAGAAGGACAGGCGGATGTCATAACCCCTGGTCCAATCTGTTTGTGATCCGAGGGCCAAGGCTCTTGGGGCCCAGGGAGGAGAATTTATGAGGCGCTCGGCTCCCCGTGCCCGGTACTCACTGTTTGATGCTGCTGATGGCATAACCCCTCCCCAGGCACTGGTTGTGCCCTGCTCCCCATGGCATGCTGTAATTCTTCAGTCGCTTCCCATCCTTGTAAAAGTCTTTCTTCTCTGATCCATCAGCGTTCAGGAATCGGTTGTATTTAAATACCTGAAATAGGAAGAAGGTCCCTTTCTGATGCCACCCCCAAAATAGGCATGGACAAAGAAAAATGTATGAGGATGTTCATCACAGTCTTGTTTATAAGAGAGAAAAACTGGAAATAATGTAAAGCCCAACTGATAGGGGATTGGTTAAAAATTATGGCAGCTCTTTATAATGTTGAGCTTGGTCTGTGTGTGCTGACATGGAAAGAACTTTTAAGACTGGTTGTTGAGGGCTTCCCTAGTGGCGCAGTGGTTAAGAATCTGCCTGCCAATGCAGGGAACACGGGTTCGAGCCCTGCTCCAGGAAGATCCCACATGCCGTGGACCAACTAAGCCCGTGCGCCACAGCTACTGAGCCTGCGCGCCACAACTACTGAAGCCCTCACGCCTAGAGCCTGTGCTCTACAACAAGAGAAGCCACGACAATGAGAAGCCCACGCACTGCAATGAAGACGCAATACAGCCAAAAATAAAAACAAATAAATTAATTAATTAAAAAAAATAACAAAAGGACTGGTTGTTGAATGAAAAAAGAAAGTGTTGGAATAACGTATTGTGTGATCCTATACTACACACCTGCCTATTCATATGTGTGTGAGTGTGTTGTGTATATGTCTGTAAAGGCATAAATATTATCTAAAGGACACACTCCCAACCACTGTTAGAGAACCCTGTGGAACTGGAGAGGAAGTGGAATGAAGACAAATTTTTACTTTTAAATATATATGTCTATATTTCTATCTTATAAGTATATATTACTTTTGCAATTTAAAATAAAAGAAATTAAAATTATTTTTAAAAAAGAGAATGCCAATTTCCTTTGGTTACATTGTAGAGTGGTAATGTGAAGATTGTGTCTGAGCATAGGGCTTTGTTGTACAGAGTAGGTGCTAAATGAAGGATGGGTGGAAGGATAGGTGAATGGACCAGTGGATAGACAGGTGGAAGAGTGAGGTGATGGATGGATGGATGCATGGATGGATAGATGGATGGATGGATGTTGGGTGGATGGATGGATGCATGGATGGATGGATGGATGGATGGTTGGATGGATGGATAGATGCATGGATGGATGTATGGATGGATGGTTGGATGGATGTATGGATGCACAGCACAGAACCTGGCACACAGTAAACATCCAAATCTGTTAGAAATTGTAAAAGTTTGCCCCATCTCAAATTCCAGGGAGAGGTAAAAGTGCTGGGAAGCTGACATTATAACATTCTGAAAACAGGAAAAATTGCTCAGCTGTCCCCTGCAAAGCGCTTAGTGTGTGCCAGGTGCTATGAAGATCTTGGTTACATGATCACATTTAATCTTCCTGACAACCCTGTGAGGCAGGTGCTATTCTGAGATCCATTTCACAGGTGAGGAAACAGAGATACAGAGAGATGAAGTGATCGGGGCAAGGTTCCACAGCAAACAAAGAGCAGAATTGGCTGCCACTCAGATAGGACAGATCCTGAAGCCACTCATCTTCCCCCACAGCCCCTGGTATGCCTTTTACCTCTGGATCTGTGTAGATCTCCGGGTCCTTCTGGGGACTCAGGAAGGGGAAGAGGAGGAGGCGGTCGCCACATCGCAGGGTGAATTCCCGTCCATCTGCCATGGGCAAGGCCATGTCCACCACGACCTCGCGGGTGATGAAGGGTGCAGCGGTGAGCCTGAGGCTCTCACTCAGCACGCTGTCTGCACAGGGCAGGTAAAAGGGGGGTTCAGCACCGTCCTCTTCCCCACTCGAATGCCACCCCCAGCTCTCATTTTACAGAGGCAAGTGGGAAGGCTCAGAGAGGGTGCATGACTTGCCCACCATCACAAAGCAAGACCCAAAATGGCCAAGTGATGAGATGTGATTGCTGCAGTCTTCAGAGACTTTGGACGTGAAGGTTTGGGTCTGACCCTAAAAGAAGCTGTGAGGGAAGGTATCTTCCAGGGAGATACCAGAGGAGGCTAGGGAAAGAGCAGGGCCATCCATATTGGTTGTGTCTGCCTGTCCAGCACACATTCCCTTTCTGGAAACAGTTCCCTGCTTTCTTCTGGGGACCATCCCCTCCCCCACTCTCAGGGGTTGGGTTGTTGATTTCACTCCCAACACCTGGGATTGGGCTGGGATTGGCTAATCAGAGCACCCATGATTGGCTCCAGATGGGCACACGACCCAAAGAGAGCCAAAGAGACACATTCCTGGGGCTCTGGGTAGGAACGTTGCAGAGAAGCACACCCTCCCAGAGCCGGGAACACATCAGCCCGGAGCCACTGGCAGCCATCTTGCCAGCCTGAGACTGGAGTCAACCCAGTGGAAAATGAGGCTGAGGATGGACAAAGACCTGATGGCATTGCTAAAGCACCTGGATCTACCTGTGCCTGAAGCCAGTCCCTCTAGACTTTTTAGTTACCTGCCCCACATGAAGTCCCTTTTCTGCTTCAGCCCATTTAAGTTAGGTGCTTTGCCACTTGCAACAAAAAATCTCCCACTGAGACCATGAAACATGGGTAGTGGAGACCAGGGCATGGAGATGCCAGGTCTATGAAGATAGGAGGCCCAGGGGGACCCTAGGTCAGAGGACACTGATGGACCCTGGATGCTGGGAACCCATGACGGGGAGGGCGGGCTTGGGGGCCCATGATGTCCTGGCCTTTGGGGCTGTCTTGGGGGGTCTGACTGTCTCACCAAGCACAGGCATGCTGTCCAAAACCTTCTGTGGGAGGGCGGTCATCTGCGAAATGGGCTGCTCTACTTGCAAGAGCATAGGCTCAAGCTCTCCGCGGACAGCAGCCAGGGCCTCGGGGGTCCTGAGAAGGAAGAGCAGGACCCAGAAGGCGGCAGGACCCATGTTCCCCTGAAACGAGAAGGCGCCCCCGTTACAGCATCAAGAGCGCAAAGCTGGGCTGGGAGCTCACCAGTCTGTGCCACGGACACAGCCTGGGCCAAGGCACTGGGGCCGGGAGGCCTGGGTTCCCACTCCTGAGGACCCATGTCTATCTTCGGCCTCAGGACATGGCCCAAATATGCTTTGGTGGCTTTGGCCTAGCCCAATGCCTGCTTCAAGGCCACTCTTGGCATCCCTGACCTTGAGCAAAATCATTGATCTGAGGTCACACAGGAAACCTCCATAGCTAATCAGCGAAAATGTCAGTACAAAGTGTATCAGTTAAGATTACTGTTAACATCTGAGGATGGATGCATCCTTAGCCCCAATTCCCCAACCTTCCCTGCATGCATGCTTCTTACCGTGTGACTCTGCACTTCCTCACATTAAAGGGGCAGAGCGTATTTCCTCAGCCCCTTGGATTTGGGCTGAGCCATGTGACCTGCTTAGGCCAATAGAACGAGGCAGAATTGACAGAACAGCAGTGCTAAGTCTAGGCCTTAAGAGACCTTGTGGGTTTCTACTTGCCCGGCTAGCTGGCTGGTCCCAAGAGGAAGATGAGAAACACCCGGAGCAGAGCTGAGCTGTCCAGCCGAGCCTGGTCTAGACCAGCTGACTCCCAGCAGACCCACAGACAGGTGAGTTAAATAAACGCTCATCAAGGTATGCCATCGAGTTTTTGTGGTTGGTTGTTATGCAATAATAAGAAACTGGTACAAAATCTGAATGTTTGCTTTCAAATATTTGAGTATTGTGTGCATAATATAGCAAAGCAGCAATAATCAATGATGACTGTGAAAGCTATTAGTTTCTTGAACAAAAATTATGTAAAACTTCCCAATAGGTAAATAATTAGGAAAACGGATAAAATTTCTTGCCCCAAGACTTCAGCCTTGGCTCAATATTTTAATACTCCGGTATTCAGCATGTGGCTAAGATATGATGGGGTATCCTTAAATGAACTCTAGATATGGTTGGAATACCAATTAACCTCAATTTGGAGGAAGATTTTTGTCTACCATAAATGACTATCTTATCCAATCTTAATAATGGAATATTAGGAAGTCATCAAATATCATGTTTACCCAGAAATTCAATTACAGACACTATTGCACATGGACGAAAGGACATTTGCACAAGGATATTTCTCACGGTGCTGATGTAACAGGAGAAGATTGGAAGCAACCTCAACAGGAGATCAGTGTGATAAATGATCCATCCATAGGATGATGACATCGGAGGTTGCTAAAAAGGAGCTGACTTTGTGCGTGCTGATATGGGACAGTAGCCAAGACGCACTGAAGCAAGATGCGGGACGGGGCCTCATCGTGCTACCATTTGTGTGTACATTTAAAGAGGGATATATATGAAGAAGCACAGACCATCTCTAGAAGGAGATTCAAGAACCTGGCAACTGAGGTTTCCTCTGGGACAGAAGCTGGGAGGGGAGAGAGGCAGAAAATAAATGCACAAAGCATCAATGATGGTGAAACAGATTTTCTTTCTCTTTAGCTGCCGTGAATTTAGAGGTGCCACGTGCCCTCATTCAATCTTCCTATCAAGCAGGCACCGTTATCACACCTTCTTACTGAAAAGGAAAACTAAGCATGCCATAGTCCCTCCCCACTGCCCAGCATATTGTGGGGGGCTCAATGGTATTTGTCAAATAAACATCTATGTTCCTTTGGGCTGGGGACCTCCAAGGCAGCCTTGGAGGTGAGCCCACTTCCCAGCTCACTTCCTGTGACCCTGGACAAGCCACTCCCCTCTCTGGGTTTCAGAACCTCCCTCTTGGTAAAATGGGAATAAATACGTGCCCACTCCTGGGGCGGCCCCAAGGAATACAAGTGACTCCCACAGGCTGAGCACACGGTAGGTGTTCAGAAGTGGTCTCCCTCTCTCACCAGCCCCTCCCTCGGGTTCGAGAACCGATGGAGGCCTTGGACTCTCTCTGAGATTTCCTCCAGAGCCTCAGGTCCGGCTGAAACAAGCAAGGTCACTTGCTGTCCATCACTTAAACAGCCAGGGGAATGCAGGCGATAAATAATTCAGCTTTGGGTTAACTCAGTGCCAAGGCCATTTTAACTGCCCAGATGGTCAGATGGGGGCCACCACTCATTAATTACAAAGCAGGAGTGGGAAACAAGGCTGCTCGGTTAACTTTGCTTTCAGGAAGAAGCTGTGGCAAGTTAGGGAGGTGACGAAGACTGCTTTCCGCCCAGCTGCACCGATGTGTGAGCCTGCATGTGTGTATGATCACACAGCCATGAGATCTTTAGTCCACTACCCTGGAAGCTGAGTGTTCTCCCACAGGACCTTGCCTCAGTTTACGAAGACACTTCTGTCTAACCTCCCTCCCTCCCACTGCAGCAAAAGTCCACCACCCAGCAGCGCCCGTGCTCTGTTCTATCTTTTCTGTGAACGACGGTATCTGACCTCCAGGGGGCGCGCACTGTGAGCCAGACCCGGTGCTCAGCGGCTCACGTGCGCCACCTTGTGGCCTCCTCTCCGTACTGTCAGTCAACTGGAGTGGGGACACCTGCAGCCCTGCCTGCCCCGCACCACTCCCCTGCCTTTGGGTAACAGCAGCCCATTTTCCTTCGGACAACTACCTCCACTTCATGTGAAGTCCAGTGGATTGTCTGGGGCGAAACTACCCCCTCCAGACCTCAGGTGTGACCATGTGACCCCAGCCTGGGCCACTCAGTCAGTGACGGACTCAGATGGGACAGGTGACCTGGGCTGGGCCAGTGGGTATCAGACTTGGGGTTTGTGCTGGAATTCATGGGAGAAAGAATCCCTCCTCCATGGGGACTGCCAAGTTGCCAAGAGCTGCTGGTGGCCTTTGCTGCCACCACCTGGGAAAGCCCATCTGAGGCGTGAGAGAACACAGAGGTGAGGGGTGGGAGATCACAGATTACATTTATTTTCATTTTTTTGTGATTAAAATTTTTTTCTAAGGGAATAAAAGAATACTCTAAGTGCAAAGTAGATCCTGGATTGGATCCTGGAAGAGAAAAGGGACAGTAGTGGAAAAACTGGGGAAGTCTGGATAAAGTATGGACTTTCAATTAATAGTAATGTACCAACGCTGATTTCTGGTTTTCCCACATGCACGGTGGTTCTGTAAGAGGTTAACACTGGGGGGAGCTGGGCGAAGGGTATTTGGGAACTCTCTGTACTATCTTTGCAACTCTTCTATAACCTAAAATTATCTCAAAATGAAACTACTGAAGGGGAAAAACCCAATTCTGTGCACAGCTATTATTCTTATTACCTCCTCCTTTTGGATGGTGAAATTGAAGCCCAGAAAAGTGAAGTGATCTATTCAAGGTCACACAACTAGTCAGTGGCAGAGCTGGGATTCCACCCGAGTCTGTCTCACTCGAAACACTGCTTTTGCTTTTCATCCTCACGTTGCAGTGCCTCCACGATCACGATCGCGATCATCTCCACTGAGCATCTGAGCATCTGTAAACCCCGTGCCCATGCAGCTCCCACAGTCCGCCTCCCCCCACTCAGGACCACCCAGGAGTTCCTGCAGCCATGGCTGCTGAGGCCAAGGCAGACGTGGAGAAGGAAGAGAAGAATGAAACTTGACTGATGGGGCCGCGACAGTTAGCGGTGTCAGTCCCAGCACTACCGTGGTCAGCAGAGCCACCCATTGCCTGACAGCTCAGAGCTGGGAGAGCAGCCCGGACCATGATGGGCCCGCAGGGGCAGGCCTTTGGGAGCTCTCCTCCCACCGCCCACTCAGCCCACCCCAACCCGGCCCACGTCCCCTAGGAGCCAGCCTCTTCCCCTGCCTGGACCTTGGATCTCAGCCCACCAGGCCCTCCTCTAGCCCCTGGATGCTGGAGACCCCCTGACCCCTCCATCAGCCTAGACCCCAGGTCTGGGGCTCTGGACTCACGGAGGCTTTTCAAGGATCCTGTGAGATGATGTTTGTAAAGTGCTCAGTCGGGTGACTGGCACAGGGTAAGCGCTCAACAGTATCTTTTGAAATGATTACTCCTCACTCAGATCTGACGACAGCAATCCCAGCTACCATTTCTCAACCCCTTGGAACACTTTCTGCAGCCGGCCTCTGGGTGGCGCTCCCTCCGAGCTCCCCTCCCTGGTGGCTCCTCATCTCCCTTGCTGGCTCTCCTCATCTTTCCGACCCCCACGCTGGAGAGGCCCAGGGCTTGGCCCGCTTCTCCATCCACCCTTGAACAACCATCTCTGCGCTGTCAACCCCCCAACATGTCCAGCCTGGACCTTAACCCTGGACCCCAGACTCTTTTCTCCAGGCGCTCCTACCTGCCCGCTCTCCACCTAGAACTCAACATGCCCCAAACAAACCCCCGACTTTCTCCCCAAAAAGTCACTCCTTCCACCATCTTCCTCAACTTCAGCCTTCCTGCTACTCACGCCCAAGCCTGGAGTCATCCTGGTTGACATCTTCTCCTAATATCCCATCCAAGAGCAAAGCCTGTTGACTCTACCTGGAAATATGTCCAGAAGCCAATCCCTCTCCCTTCTGCCCTCTGGTCCAGCACCATCCTCTCTTGCCTGGATATTGCTGTGGCCTCCTCCCTGGTCTCCTTGCCTCCACTCCCCCCACTACAGTCTATTCTCAGCAATGCAGCCAGAATGGCCCCTCTAAAGCAGAAGGCAGGCCATGTCACTCCTCTGCTCACAGCCTTTAAAGGGTTTCCATTTCAGAGGAAGAGCCAAAAGTGCTCCCCATGGCCTACAGGGTCCTGCATGGTCTGGCACCTGCTACCTTCCTGCCGCATCACCCTCATCCCCACCTCAGGGCCTTTGCACTTGCTGCCCACGCCTCCCCCATCCTACACAGCTACATGGCTCACTCTCTCACTTGCTTTGAGGTTCTGCTCAGATGTCACCCTCTTGGTGAGGCCTTCCTTGACCACTCAAAAAAGCAGGCCCTCCTCGCTCCTGCCGCCATCCCCTTTCCCTGCTTTATCTGTTCTCCACAGAACTTATGATCTGTAATACATTTTACATACTTACGTGTTTAGTAATTGTCTTCTCCCACCACGATGTCAGCTCCTTAAGGGCAGGGGTCTTTGTTCTGCTCACTGCTCTCTTCCCAGCTTCTAGAATGGTGCCTGGCACACAGTGGGCCCTCACTAAGTATTTCTTGAATATGTTTATTGAGCACTAGTTACCTGCCAAGCACAGTTACAGGATTTTACATGGATTGCTTCCTTTCATCCTCCCCACAACGCCTTGAGGAAGGTCCTGCCGTCTCTACTTTATGGAGGAGTAAAGCGAGGCACTAAGAAGGGACTGACTTGCCAAGTAGTGGTAAAGTCAGGATCCAAGTTCAGGCAGGTTGTCCACAGAGCCTGTGCCCCAAACCACTGGGATACCCAGCCTCTTGGCCCTACTCTCAAAAGACTCGAGATCTTGAAGGGTCTTCCACCTGCCTGAATTCTGGACGCTGCCAACAACTCAATCTCAGAGGACACCCTGACCCCAACTCTTGCCCAGTTCTCCTGGCCCCGCCAAAGGCTGTTTGCCGGGCTTGCTGCCACTCAAGCCCCTAGGCCAGCATCCAGTTCTGCTGACAGAGGTCAATTTCCATAGGGGATTATGGGGACAGTTTGGAGTCCCAAGTCACTGCCCATAAATATGTTATTAGATACTAATGGGGCCCCAACTGCTGATTAAACCCAGCCCCCAACCCTTCCCAGCCTCTGCCTGCAAGGATAGTTAATGGCTCTGGGAAAAAACTAAAAATAAGTCGTAAGTCAATGGGAGAGGAATTACCCAGAAATGTCAGCCTGTGTAACTGTCACTGCCGAGATGGGGCCCAAAGAAGGAGGGGGCTCAGGGCTGGGGCGAGGGCAGCAGCCAGGCCTGGAGGTGCAGCACCCTCAGCCTTGCTTTCTCTCACTCCAATATCTAGTCCTTCACCAGCTTCACTGGCCCTGTCTTCCCTTGGTTTCCAGAATCTATCCACTTCTTCCTCATCTCCATGGCCACCACCTCCCCTTCCTGGAATACTCTATCCCCACATCTTCCCCCAAGTCCCCAAATCTAGATCTTTCTTATCATCCAGGGTTCAGCTCAGTCATCTCCTCCTCAGAGAGGCCACCCTGGCCAGAGTAGACCCCCAGGACCTATCTAGTCATGACCCTGTTTTATATCCTGCATATCAGCATCTAAAATCACCCTATATCTCTTTCCCTGATGTCTGCCCCACCCCTGCCCCTGGCTGAAACAAAAGCAACACAGAGCAGGGTCTTTGAGGTCCGTGGTAAGTACTCAGTGGAACTTTTAAATGAGTCTTCAAGATAACTGGTCTGCATATTTCAATAATCTCAAGGTCGTGAAAAACAACTAAAGGCACCAAAACTGTTCCATATCAAAGAAAACTAAAAAGGCAAAATGACTAAATGCAGTGTGTGATCCTGAGTTGGATGCTGGACCAAGATGAGCCATAAAGAGTATTATTAAGACAACTGGCAAAATTGGAATGTGGACTGTATATTAGATAATGATCCTCTATCTGGGTTAACTGTCCTGAATTTGATCACTGTGCTGATCAAATGATGATGTAAGGGAATATTCTTGCTCCTGGGAGATGCACGCTGAAGTAATTAGGGGCAAAGAATCATGATGTCTGCAACTAATTTGCAAATGGTTCAATAAGATACGCACAGTAGGAGACAGAGAGAAAGCAAATGTGGTCAAATGTTTAAAACTGGGGAATCAAGGTGAAGTATATATGAGTTCATTAAACTATTCATACAGCTCCTCTGTAAGTTTGATGTTTTTCCAAATTAAAAACATACATATCGAATGAATGATCCTGTTCATGAGACTGTTTGACAGTTAAGAGAGTCAGGGAACTGGGGCAGACAGCTGGGTGTGTGCGCACCTACCCACAGCCATACTCACAGTGGCACACTCTCACACATGTACACCTACATGCACCCAGATGTGAGCGCCCATGCAGGCACATGCATATGTGCTCGCAGGCATGTGCCTAAGTGTGCCTGGTGGCACACACGCACATGAGTGCACACACGACACACAAGCACTCATATGCACAGCCTCACGTCCACACCTGCACACACCCACCTGTGTGGCCCAGAGCTGCAGCACCAGAGCCCGCGCCTGCATCTCCTCCGACACGCCCATCTCCTCCAGGTGCAGCAGGTAACTCTCCAGCCATTTACTCCGGTGGGCCCGACTGGCCAGCCTGGCTGGGGACAACAGCTTCCACAGGTGACCTTTGACCCTGCACACCTGGTCCTTATCCCCTGCAGGGATGGAGCACAGAGGATGAGGGTTACAGATCCACCTCCAGCCCAGGGTCACCCAGCCCTGACCTCCCATTAGGCCAAGGGTCTTCCAGGTGTCAGCCCAGGGGATGGGGAGTTCCTGTGGGAAAGAGGCGACAGGGACCCAGCCCTTAAATGCTGGCCTGGCCCAGAGGAGGTACTCAATCAACATTTGCTAAATGAATGGGCTTCTCAGCACAGCAGGGGGAGGGGCAGGAAACGGGGAGCCACATTCTCCCTTCCTGGGGTCTGATCCCAGAGGAACACCAGCCCACGTGGGCGGGGAGACCCTGAGAGCACACTCAGCACAGCGTCACTCAGGGGTAACAACCGAACTGACCACCAAGAGGGGACAGGTTGGTCTGGGGTCTCAAACTCAACTACTTGCAGGAAAGGCAGGTAAAGTGAATGAGGGAGGAGGGACAGGAAGGGGCCCAACGGGAGGGTCGGGTGGCTCCACTCAGCTCCACCGACCAGCCCAGCCCAGCCAGGGAGCCTGGGTTTCTAGAAGAAACTGAAATCCAGATGTTCAGGGGGAATCTTCTCATGTGTTTTAAAGTTAGCATCTCTGTAAGAAATTTTTAATCACCGCACAGGCCACAAAAGCATCTCAAGTTAAACTGGCTCACGGATCACCAGTTCGAAAACACCATTAAATAAACGATGGCGTGTTTACATTCTGGAAAACCGTGAAGCAGTGAAAACCAATGAGGAAGTTCTTTATGTCCAGCCCTCACCGGGCTCACACGGGCAGACCATTGAAGGAATAAAGTCAGATGCTTATTTATTTATTGTATTAATGCTACAAGATGATGCTGTATTGACATATATATATGTGCAAATATAAGATTTGGTTGTTCCAAAATCACTCCTTGGAAAAGGCGGAGTCACTTGGATTGCTACAAAATTCCAAAGTACTAGAAACTCTCTCATTGACTTTTCTGAGCCACAAAGCAGTGTTTCAGGAAGGTCCATCCACCCAGTGGCTCTAAACCAGGCTGCATGTTACAGGATGTAAAACGTAGGCGACACTTATTCAAGTGCATTAGTTACGTTTTCAAATAATATGCTCCCTATGCTTTTCTTCAACCTCTAGACACTTTCAGGTGACATACTTCTCAATTTAAACCAGTGAGGCCAATTGTTATCTGAAATACACGATTTCCCTCTTTCCCAAATTTTCAGGTACTGGAGCATCACCAGGCAGGTTTAAATCTCTGGCTGCTCAGGTCCCCACCCAACCCCCACCAATCTCATCAGAATCTCTGGCGGTGCGGCCCAGGCACGCGGAGATTTTAAACAGGTGGGTGCAGGGTGCAGGGTGCAGGAGGTGCTGAAGCCACCTCAGTTGTTGCTGGTTCTAGATGCTTACTTACAGGACCGATCTGATGAGATTGATAACAAAAGGAGGTAAAGGGCTTCCCTGGTGGCGCAGTGGTTAAGAATCCGCCTGCCAATGCAAGGGACACGGGTTGGAGTGCTGGTCTGGGAAGATCCCACATGCCGCGGAGCAACTAAGCCCGTGAGCCATGGCCACTGAGCCTGCACTCTAGAGCCCGTGAGCCACAACTACTGAGCCCACGTGCCTAGAGCCTGTGCTCCGCAACAAGGGGAGCCACCGCAATGAGAAGCCTGCATACCGCAACGAAGAGTAGCCCCTGCTCGCCGCAACTAGAGAAAGCCCACGCGCAGCAACGAAGACCCAATGCAGCCAAAAACAAATAAATAAATTAATTAATTAAAAAAGAGAGAAAAGAATCAAAATAAAATTAAATTAAAATTTTTAAAAAAGGAGGGAAAATTTAACGCAGATTTAGAAATGACTGGCATTTTTTAAGGTCTGACAGCACAAGTGCAGGTCTTGAATGTCACTGTAAATACGGCTTTTAAGGATGACTTTCAAAAGCAATGCAGTATGCAAAGACAACCGACAGAATGGGAGAAAATATTTGCACATCATACAGATACTTGTATACACCCATGTTCATAGCAGCATTATTCACAATAGTCAAAAGGTCGAAATAACCCATGTCCATCAACAGATGAATAGGTAGACAAGAGGTGGCATATCCATACAATGGAATATTATCCAGCCTTAAAAAGAAGGACATTCTGATGCATGCTACAGCATGGATGAATCCTGAGAACGTTATACTAAGTGAAATAAGGCAGACACAAAAAGAGAAATATTGCATGATTCCACTTATACGAGGTACTCAGAATAGGCAAATTCATAGAGACAGAGAGTAGGATACAGGTTAATAGGGGTGGAGGGAGGGAGAGATGGGGAGTTATTACTTAATGGATACAGATCTTCTGGTATGATGAAAAACTTCTGGAAATACATAATGGTATGGCTACACAACACTGTGAAGTTTATTTATTGAATTTTATACTTAAAATGGTTTAAATGGTAAATTTTATGTTATATATATTTTACCACCACTAAGAAAACAGGAAGATATGTGAATGTCATTTGGCAAATGAGCCAAAGATTGTGGTGTATAATAAAAAATTGGATTGGCAAAAAAACAAGTAAAGAAAAATATAGCAGTAATTTGATCAAATCTGCTTAACATTTGGAGAGCTCTTAGAACGGTGCAGGATACACGAAATCTTACACAAGAGTTAGCTATTGCTACTCTACATTGTTAGAAAAAGGCAAAGTGTCTACATCAGTGTGTTTACTATGCACTTGTGGGCAAAAGAGAAAAACAAGAATATAGCACATTTGCTTGTATTTGCGTAAAGGAACTCTGGAAGGATCCACGAGAAACTAATAAAAGCAGCCAATTGTGGAGAGTGGGAATTGGGTGGAAGGAGGGATGACAAGAAGGGAGGGGAGACTTCACTGTTACTATTTTATATTTTCAATGTTTGAACCACGTGAAACATATTCAAAATCTGGCACCACCCCCATCCCTGTAAAACATTTCCAGCGAAAGATCACAGATTCATAGACTCACAGATTCAAAAAGCTCATTCTGTATTTCAAACAGATGATCGGGAGTGAAGAAGAGGGGTTCTGAAAAACTGAGTTTGGTGACTCCACCTGGGGATCCCGCTGATGGGGAAGACGCAGGTGTCAAAGGTGGAGTCTGAATAAGCCAATTCCTGAAATGTGAGCATGGGAAGAAAGCAACATTTCTAAACGGTTAGTTTATATAACATGTGAGCTTAACGAGGGATGTTCAACAAAATCAATAAGGAGACATCGGGGCTTCCCTGGTGGCGCAGTGGCTGGGAGTCCGCCTGCCAATGCAGGGGACACGGGTTCGTGCCCCGGTCCGGAAAGATCCCACATGCCGCGGAGCGGCTGGGCCCCTGAGCCATGGCCGCTGGGCCTGCGCGTCCGGAGCCTGTGCTCCGCAACGGGAGAGGCCACAACAGTGAGAGGCCCGTGTACCGAAATAAATAAATAAATAAATAAGGAGACGTTATTTCATTTCCAGTCCTAATTATTTCCATGTTTAGGTTGACAAAAAAAACAAAGCAAGACAAAACAAAAAAACTTTCCCACTGGGAAAACCAGGGTTTGCTGTGTATTTAGATCAGAGTATAATTGGGGCTCGTACTGTATTTTACCACGTGGAGAAGGGTCTAGAACTGCTCTGTCCAGGAAGGAAGCCACAAGCCACATGTGCTTACTGAGTACGTGAAATGTGGCCGCCTGGAACTGAGACATGCTATGAGTAAAAAGTACACCCCAGATTTCAAGTCTTGCATGAGAAACAAAATGTAAAATATCGCAAGAATTTTTATACTAATTACATGCTGAAATGCTAATATCTTAGATACACTGGGTTAAAGAAAAAATATAATATTTTTTATATTTTATAAAATTGATTTATATTTTATAAAATTGATTTCACCTCTTCCTTTTTTTTAATGTGTCTACTAGAAAATTTAAAATTACATATATGACTGGCATTCTATTTCTACAGGATAGCACTGTTCTAGCAGGATAACACCAAACTGATAACAATGGTTACCTTGGTGATAGATGTAGAGGGAGTGTGGTCAAACGAGAATTTGCCTTTTCTGTAATATTTGATTTTTTTTTCCACAAGAGGCCGGGGAGCCAAGTTAACAGCCCAAACTCTGGAGCAGAGTGCCTGACCTTGAACAAGGCACCTCACCTCTGAACACCTCAGTTTTCTTACCTATAAACTGAGGTAAGAGTACTCATCACATAGGGTTATACAGGGATTGAATGCATTAACATATAAAGTCCAAAGAGGGATGCCTAGCACAAGTCTAATAAACATTAGCTATATTATTAAACAAAGCTTAATGAATGTTAGTAAATTATTAGTCCAAGGAGAATATATTCATGTATTATTTCTATAAGTAAGAAATAATAATAAATTGTGAGGTAACGAACACCCAGTTTGCAGCCATAGAGACCCAGGTTGAAATCCCAGCTCAGCCCCTTCCTAGAAGGATGATCTTGGGCAAATCACTTTGTATCTCTGAGTCTCAGTTCCCCATCTGTAAAATGGAGGAAACCTGGCTCACAGGATCATTAGGGGGACTCAAAAAGATCACACACAGAACACACTCTGTACTGGCAGGGGTTTGGTAAGTTGTACTTGCTACATTCCTGCCATTTTTTTTTTTTTTCCTGCGGTACGCGGCCCTCTCCCTGCCGTGGCCTCTCCCGTTGCGGAGCAACAGGCTCCGGACGCGCAGGCTCAGCGGCCATGGCTCAGGGCCGCAGCCGCTCCGCGGCATGTGGGATCTTCCCGGACCGGGGCACGAACCCGCGTCCCCGGCATCGGCAGGCGGACTCTCAACCCCTGCGCCACCAGGGAAGCCCATCCTGCCATTTTTATAAGGTATTATTCATCAGCCCCAGTGTAATGACTCAACGCTGTGAATCAGAACTGGCCGGCTCCTGTGACAGGTAACTTGGTCAGAGGCAGGAGACACAGGTTTGATGTCAGACCTGCCATGCTGTGTGGGCTTGGCTGAGGCCCTGTCCATCTCTGGGCCTCAGTCTCTCCATTTGTAAAGCAAGAGGACTAGGCATGGAAACACCTCTGACCACTGGAGACCTGAGGGTACAGTTCAGAGAGGCCCCCAGCGGAGACATGTTTTTTTTTAAAAGCCTTGTGTTTTACCTTTAAAATGCATTTGATTTTTGCATTAGACCCTGTGATTCTTTAATATAAGAATGCTTTTTTCCCCCAAACAATATTTAAATAATAATAATCCAGTGAAATGATTATTCCAGAAAGAAGCAGTATGCTTAGCTTGGGGCTCTAACTCCCTACTGCCCCCCAACTCCCTCCTGTATGAGAAGCACCAGACTCAGTGGTCTAAGGGTCTCCAAAAGGGTCAATTTTCTTTTAAAATGTTTACATTTCTAAAAGCAGAGGAGGAATAATGCATGTAAATGGTAAACAACAATAATAATAAAAGAAAAAGAAAGAAAGAAACTCTAAGAGTTCAAATGGGTGTAAGATTCTCTCCATCCCATCTCAGCTTTCCCAGAGGCAAAAATCTATAAATGTTCCCACATTTAAACACAAACACACACACACCCCCATACCCTCTGTTCTGCACCTTTTTCATAACAGTAGATTTCAGCCTATAGCAGTATATCCCATTACTTTCTACAGTTGCATAGCTTTCCTTTGTGTGAAAGCATAATTTATTTCATCAGCTACTACGGGGGACATTTAGGTTGTTTTTAGGGTTTGCTGAAACAAGTGACATGCTAATGAATATCTGTGGATCCGTAGACACATGCAAGCATTTCTGTGGGGTAATTCCAAGAAGTGGAAGTACAGGATCAAAGGAATGTGTACTTTATATGTTGATAGTTTCTACCAAATCACTCTTCGAAAGAAGCTGCATAGCCTCACATGCCCACAACCAGGTCTGAGGGCCGTTCTGCACCTCAGCCTCCAGTCCCTAGCTGAGAAACCTTCCCCAACATCGCCACCTGCTGCCCATACTGGGAAGTGCAGCCTTCCCATACCCAGCCCAGAGCTGCTCCCAGAAAAACAAGGAGAGTTCCCCTCTGCATCTACACAGACTCCCCTGCAGCATCTGTATGGAGGAAACGGCAGCAGAGAAACTACTCTTTCCTGGAGAAGCAATCCATGCCGGCACGTGTCAGTGCTTTATGCACTAGCTTTTGCAAGCAGACGGACCAAGTTTCCATTTTGCTGGCTCTGCCACCTACCAGCTGTGTGTCTATGACAAGTGACTTCACCTTTCTGAGCCTCAGTTTCTTTACCTGCAAAATGAATTTAATAATACCAACTTTCCAGCACTGATGGCAGGATTCAATAAGATAAGGAGTTGTCTCTAAAAAGACATTAAGAGTCATGAACAGGCAACTCACAAAGAGGAAAAGCAAATGGCTGGTAACACTAAAAGATGTCTCATACAGTAGTCAGGGAAATGCCCATAAAGCCAGATGCCCTTTTTTGCCCATCAGATTGGCAAGGATTTAAACACCGATAATTGCACGTTGACAAGGTGGTGGGGAAATGCAAATTAAAACAACAAGTTACCCACCTCTGTCCATTAGATTGGCAAACAAATGGAAAGACTGAAAAAATCTGGTGGGGAATGAGCAGACTCCTTTCCTTTGGGTAGGCGTATGAATTGCTCCATGGTTTTGGAAATGATGTGGCAACAGCTAATAAAAATTTTAGGGCTTCCCTGGTGGCGCAGTGGTTGAGAGTCTGCCTGCCAATGCAGGGGACACGGGTTCGTGCCCCGGTCCGGGAGGATCCCACATGCCACGGAGTGGCTGGGCCCGTGAGCCATGGCCGCTGAGCCTGCGCGTCCGGAGCCTGTGCTCCGCAACGGGAGAGGCCACAACAGTGAGAGGCCCGCGTACCGCAAAAAAATAAATAAAATAAATTTTAATGTGCATGCCCTTTGACCCAGCAAACCCACTTCCAGGAAACTGTTAGAGAGAAATAAAATCACCAGATGGTAGAAGAGATACAAGTACAAGGAAATACTATAACAGTAACACACATGAAAAAGGAAACAATTATAAATATCCATTGGAGGGGGATGGCTGCCTAAATATTGACCTCTACTTTGCTATATTCATTTTTGCTTGAGTTAGTTTTATCATAGATTTTCTGGGGTTTTCTGGGTATAGCATCAGATTATCTGCAAATAGGGATACTTTTATTTCTTCTTTACTCATTCTTATATTGGTAATTGATTTCTCTTATCTAAGTGCATTGGTTAATGCCTCTAGACGTTTGTATTGACAAGGGAGACTGTATATCGTTAGGTTAAAAAAATAAGTTGCAGTTAATAGATATAATCCCTTTCTATAAATACACAGTGACACTTTAGATACATATATTTGTCTCCATTTTCAAAATAGAGTATCCCTACAAAACACTGTGAAGGGATACATCAGCATGTTAACGTTGGTTTCCATAGGAAGCTGAGCTTGGAAGACTGACTATTATTACTTTTTACTGTCTACATCTACCACAAGAATATGTTTCTTTTTTTTTTTTGCTGTACGCGGGCCTCTCACTGTTGTGGCCTCTCCTGTTGTGGAGCACAGGCTCTGGACGCGCAGGCTCAGCGGCCATGGCTCACAGGCCCAGCTGCTCCACAGCATGTGGGATCTTCCCAGACCGGGGCATGAACCTGTGTCCCCTGCATCGGCAGGCAGACTCTTAACCACCAGGGAAGCCCTCTTTTTTAGTTTAAACAATCTAATGTGTTAAAGTTTCATTCTTAAAAAATATATAAATAAATGAAATGGGGTCATGAGCTGTTGTGAGCACTGAATGAGACAATGTTTAACCTGGTATCTGGCACCAAAGAAAATGCTCAACAAGTAGCGTTTTTTCTTTATTACCTCAGCCAATCCTAACAGCCACCTTCTAGGAAGATCCTACTGTTCTTCCCATTTTACAGATGGGATCACTGAGGCACACAGAGATTACATAAGAGCCAGTAAACCACCTCAAGCCACCTGAGCCCAGAGTCTGTCTCAACCACTGTCTTCAACTGTCCTCCGGAAAAAAGACCTAGGGCAAAAAGAAGTTAAGTAGGGACTTCCCTACTCTTAATTTCCCTATTCTTAACAACTGTGGCACAGTAGTTAAGAATCCGCCTGCCAATGCAGGGGACACGGGTTCAAGCCCTGGTCCGGGAAGATCCCACATGCCACGGAGCAACTAAGCCCATGTGCCACAACTACTGAGCCTGCGCTCTGCAGCCCGCAAGCCACAACTACTAAGCCCATGTGCCACAATTACTAAAGCCCGTACACCTAGAGCCTGTGCTCTGAAACAAGAGAAGCCACCGCAGTGAGAAGCCCGTGCACCCCAGGGAAGAGTAGCCCCTACTTGCTGCAACTAGAGAAAGTCTGTGCGCAGTAACAAAGACCCAACGCAGCCAAAAAATTTTAAATTAATTAATTAAAAAAAAAAAAGAAGTTAAGTAACTTGCCCCAAATCACCAGCAAGGAAGCAGCACAGTAGGGATCTGAATTCAGGTCTTGTTGCAAGTACCTGAGACCAGGACACACAGTTATTTCTCAGCCTTCCTACAGCACCTGTCATACATGCAGTGTCCCAGCCTCACTGGAGATTCAGATTCAAATGGACCATGATGGGGCTGGGTGACTTGTCTTATTAACAAGGACCCCAGAGGATTCTTCTCACTGGGGAAGTCTGAGACACAGTGGCCAGGGAAGAATGCAGTCCAGTGGTTCCTATGGCCCTGGCACTCTGAATCCAGCAGGAAGCTCTTTACCAATATTGAGTCCACAGAAATGAATGACGTGGGTTTTTACAAACCGATGTGGAAAGTTCTAGATGTGGAGTTCAGTGAAAATGCTAAGTAGCAGAACGATGCCTCTCCAGTGTGCTAGGTCGATGTTATAAAAGCACAGGGCTGATAACTAAGAGAAACGAAGGCATGTGTGCTCAGAAAGACATGCTCAAGAATGTTCGTAACAAGCTAACCAAACCAGAAACCAGAACCCACCAAGATGTCCATCAACCAGGAATGGATGACAAACTGTGGTTATTACACTAATGAAATACTTCACAGCAACGAAAAAGAACAAACTATAGATACATTCAACCTGCATGAATCTTACACACATGAAGCTGAGTGAAAGAAATCAGACATGAAAGGGCACATGTTGTATGATTCGTTTTAAAGGAAGTGTAAGAACAGGTAAAACTAAGCTGAGGTGAAAGAAATCCATACAGTGGCTAACTCTGGGGGGTGGATATTGACTGGGAAAGGGCATAAAAAGTTTAGATTTACCTCTAAGCTGTGCATTTAGGACATGTGTGCTTTCCTGTACATAAATTATACCTCAGTAAAAAAGAGAAATTAAAAACCTTAAAAATAGAAAAAAAATGACACACAACTCTGTGTGTGTGTGTGTGTGTGTGTTTAGAGAGAATTCTGCAGGATATACTCCAAGCTAGTAATAATGGTCACCTCTGTGGATGGGAGTGCGAGTGGTGGGCTGGGATGGGGAGAAGTTGGAGAATTCTTTTATTGTTCCCTTTAAATTATTCTATATGGCTTGAATTTCTTATAATCAGCATAAACTACTTATAAAAAATTCTAGAGCAAATTAAATCATAAACTAGAAAAGGAGCATACACACACACACACACATACACACACTCAAGGTCCCCAGGCCCCACTCTAGATGTGCTGTATCAGAATTTCCACCAGGAACCCCAGCTCTAGTCCAAGCCCTGCCTCCCCACCACTCTGCTCTTGCATACCCCAGTGACGGGGATCTCACTACCTTTAAGGGCATTAGAACATCTTTCCTCCTATGTTGTCTATGATCCTCCCTCTCTGGGTCCCTCCATTAGCCCCACCACCCACCAGGGCCCCCATGGCGCTTACCCACTGACAGGGAGCCACGTGCCAGTTTGGGGAGCAGCAGGTCAAGCTGGCGGAAGGTGTGGAAGACGTCGGCTGAGTGGACGCGGTCCTGGGCCTGGCTCTCCTGGGTGTGTGGCGGTGCCTCAACACCGTACAGAGTCAGGTAGCCGGCTCTGGGGGCGGCAAACAGCTGGTCAGGGGGTTGTCTTTGGATACTCCCGGCCGAACCCTCCCAGGGCTGCCTACACGTTTTCTTCATTTGTACACCTGAGGAGCACCTGATTTTCCTACCATGTGTCAGGGACCTCTCTGGGCCACAGCGTCAGCAGAGAAGAAAACAGACAAAACCCTCACCCACCCATGGAGCCAACACTCTAATGAGGGAGACAGACATACAGAGAAACGAGTGGATGAGTCATAGGTCAGCTGGGGCTCAGAGGGAGGGACAAAGAGGGAGGGGGTGGGGAGGGGCTCTCGGTGAAGGATGAGAAGGAGCCAGCGTGGGAGGAGCAGAGGGAGGGGCCTGAGGCGCAGGGAAGAGCCAACCTCCTGCGGCGGGAAGGAGGCAGAGTGTGGAGGCGCTACCCGGAGGCTGGCGAGCAGAGCAGAGTGAGGGGTGGACAGTGGGCCAAGATGGGGGCACCGATCAGGAAAGGAGGCTCCTGCCCCTGGAGATGGAGTCACGGTGGGCTCCCTGGAGGAGGCAGGTCTAAGCTGAGACCTGCAGGATAAGCAGGGGAAAGGGGTTCGGGCAGAGGGCACGGTCCCCGCAAAGGCCCAGAGCCAAGGGAGCAACCACAGCCAGGTCAGGGCGCTGCCAGGTACTGCCGGCCCAGGTGCTGGACTGGAGAGTGAGGGGCCGGCGCGGAGCACCCTGGGAGTCTGCACACACACACTCAAAACACAGACACACACACACACACACTGCCTGCAGGAATGCTCTCAGAGGAAATGTTTTCACCACCAGCCACTTTTTTTTTTTTTTTTTTTTTTGCGGTACGCGGGCTTCTCACTGCTGTGGCCTCTCCTGTTGCGGAGCACAGGCTCTGGACGCGCAGGCTCAGCGGCCATGGCTCACGGGCCCAGCCGCTCCGCGGCATGTGGGATCTTCCCGGACCGGGGCACGAACCCGCGTCCCCTGCATCGGCAGGCAGACTCTCAACCACTGCGCCACCAGGGAAGCCCCGCCAGCCACTTTTTAATGCTCCAGGAGTCCAGCCCCACTGGCCTCAGTCCTGGGAGGAAAACCACAGGTTTTCACTTTTTCCACGTGGTGAGAGGGGCCAGGACTTCTGAGAGAGACACCGTGAAGCCCTAATGCAGCCCCCTCAGGCCCTCCTGGGTCTCCCAGGACAGAGATTTTCCGGAGAAGGAGAGGAAAGAAGCAGGAATGAGGGAGGATGGGGCTGAGAAGGGCCTGTCTGGTCCCCACTTTGTCCCTCATTCACGCAGTGTAGACACGTAGTAGGTCTTCAATAAATGTTCTATCAATGGATGAATGGATGGATGGGAGGGAGGATGGGTGGATGGATGCATGGATAGTTAGAACTTAATCCTGAGAACACTGATCTTGGAAGAAAATATGGGGTCACCACGATTCTGAGCTCAGCTTTCCAAGCTACTGTCCCACCTTTTCCCTGCATCCCACTCACCTTCCCCTCATCCAGTTTTGGCCTCCATGCCCCCCAGAGATGGCGAGTTCAAGACCTGCCCATCCCACCGGACTAAAAGGAAGCAATCCTTCCTTCAGAACAGCTTAAACGAGCTACCTGTAGAGTCTAACCCGTCGGCCCTACTGATGCCTCTGCATCAGCCCAGAAGGAATTCCCTCCTCCGTTTCCTCCAGACGTGTAAGCCCCTGGATCCCTCTTCTTCAGAAGAGTGTCCTCAGTCTCCTTATGGCAGAAGTTGTAAAGGTGCAGCCTACAATCTAGATTCAGTCCAGAAACGTGTTTTGTTTGGTTAATAGAGTTTTCCTAAAAACAACCGGATGCGTATTTAAACATTTGGGGAAATTCATACAAAATCTGGATTTCCCCCTCCATCTCATTTTGAAAAAGGAGAAAGGCTGACCACTGGCAGCCTACAGTCCTGCCTGGCAGCCCTGGGCAGAAGCGGAGTCACGGCCACCCCTCTTAGACGGAAACAAGCTGGCAGGGTCAGACGGTCCTCCCCAGGCCCTGCGGTCTCTGTGGCACTGCAGTTAAACACCTGTCACCATTTGTCATCCTACTTGCACTGGTTTTTTTCTTAAAGCAGAAAACTAGTTCCTTAGATAAAATATCTACCAGAAATAGGCGATGAAAAATAACCCCTCCCCAAAAGACAAGAAAACCAGGAAGACCACGAGGTTTCACACTGTGGACACGAAGGCCCTTCCTGTGGCGCCTCCACATCAAAATAACACCTGACACAGCTGAAGACAGGCAATAAATAATTACACGACCTATAAATACACACATGACCTACAGGTGGCGCTAGGAGCCATAAAGAAAAAGCTGGAATGGGCCGGGTATTGAGGGGGCCATCATATTAAATGGGGTGGCAGGAAAGACCTCCCTGAGCAGGTGACCCTTGAGATGAGACTTGAATGAAGTGAGGCGGGAGCCATGCCGACATATAGGGAAGAGCATTCTTGGGCAAGGGAATAGAAACTGCAAGGGCCTTGAGTTGGGAGCATGCCTGGCCTGTTCCAGGGGCAGCAAGGAGGCTGGTGAGACACCAGTGGAATCAGAGTTAGAACTCTGGATGTGACTGAGTGAGGCAGGGGCCCACACAGGACAGGTTGGAATCTCACGGTCTCGGGCTACGTGAACACACACCTCTGTACCCGTGTGACTGTCATCCAACTTGCCCACTGCCTTTCTATTTCAGGGGCTGCAGGTGGCGATGAAAAGGCCCAAGGAGGCAAGAGCTGCAGCCCAGGGCTCAGGCCCTGAAGACACAGGGATCCATTTACATCTGCCCTCCTGCACTGTGCCTGCTGTTACCATGAACCTAAACGGACCCAGCTGCCACCGCGTGGCCCCCACCTCCCCCAGTGCCTCAGCTTCTTTTCTGACTTCTTTGCCCGCACAAGGATACGGGATGGCAGGAGCTAGGAGACCTGGGAGTGCCCTGCTGTGAACTTGCTGGGTGGTTTTAGCGGCCCCTCTCTGGACCTCAGTCTCCACACCATATGACAGGGTAGACCAGACCTGCATCACCCAGACCAATCACAGCCCTTGATGGTATCTGCACCACTCCAGGGTGAAATGAGAAAAAGGCGACACACCAAGGGTCGTGCTTGAGAGTGTAGGCTCTGCAGCCAGCCCTGCCAGGACCCCAACCATGGGACTCTGGGCAAATGACTTAGAATCTCCAGGCCTTAGTTATCTCATCTGTCAAATGGGGTTTGTAAAGTACCCGCCCACAGAGTTGTTGTGAGGATTAAACGTATTAGCGCACACTGAGCCTACAAGAACACACACACGTCATAAATATTCCTGTGTGCCCATATGTGTCAGCAAATGCCTGTCCTTTATCCTCAAACTGTGTTGCTGTAATTTTTTGGAGCGGTTGAAATGTCTCGCTTGTATGAGATGCTAGTCATTAGGGATGCCACCAAAAACTACTGGCTCTCCTTCCCTCACTGCCTGTGGCCATGCTCCTCCATCCCTGCCACCACGCAGTCAAATCCACCAGCAGGTCCCACCGACCCCATCCCCCAAAGCTACCCGAATTCTCGCCATCGCCTGGTCCAGGCCACCATTCTGTCTCACCTGGGCAACTAAAACAGCCTCCTAACAGGTCCCCCGCCTCCCTTTCATTGCCACCCACCCGAACTATGGTCTAGTCTCTGTCTGGCAGCCAAAGAGAGCTTTTAAAACTCTAAGTCCGGGTTTCCCTGGTGGCACAGTGGTTGAGAATCTCCCTGCCAATGCAGGGGACACGGGTTCGAGCCCTGGTCTGGGAAGATCCCACATGCCGTGGAGCAACTAGGCCCGTGGGCCACAACTACTGAGCCTGCGCGTCTGGAGCCTGTGCTCCACAACAAGAGAGGCCGCGATAGTGAGAGGCCCGTGCACTGTGATGAAGAGTGGCCCCCACTTGCCTCAACTAGAGAAAGCCCGCGCACAGAAATGAAGACCCAACACAGCCATAAATAAATAAATAAAAATAAATAAAGGAATTCCCTTAAAAAAAAAAAAAAAACCAACTCTAAGTCCAATGGTGTCATACCCCTGCTTAAACCCCCAATGTCACTCATCTCACTTAGAATAAATTCCAAAGCCTTCCATGGCCTTGAGGCTCTGTGAGACCCGGTTTCTGCCAGTTTCTCTGACCTCATCCCCCCGCCCAACCTCCTTGGCTCATTAGGCTCCAGCCACACTGGCCCTCTCACCAAGCATCTGGGTGACCAGCAAGGCCCCTTTTCTGGCCTGTGTCTCCTTTACAGCTCATAGGCTGAGTCAGGCGACCACTCAAGAGTCCCAGATACAAAATGTCGCCTTGCAGCCTTTGCTTTGGAGCATCCCGAACTGCTTCCCCAACCACAAAGTCCTCCTGGTTCCCCTGGCCACTATTAATGGCTGGTCCAGAATGCTGGGCTCACCTGAGCAGGAAGCTGTAGGAGAATTCGAGGAGTCCCATCTCATGCCAGCCACTGCCTGCTTCCATGGTGTCACCCAGCAGGACAGTGTGGAGGTTGGTATACATGGCTTCCGTGAGCGCCTGGAGCTCTTTGTGGAGGAGAGTCCTGGGGCAAGGAACCAAGGTGTGAGAGTGTAGCTTCCAAAAATATATATATATGCACACAGGCACCTCCTTAGCCAAACCTCAGAGTCCCAGGGCTCCAGTGCCTCAGTGGCAATGAGGGCTTTTGGAAGATTGGCTTAAACAAAATATTATTATTTCTATCATAATCCACAATGACGACAGTTACTATTTATTTTGCCAAGCACAATGATCTCATTTCATCTTTTGACAGCCCCAGGGATAACAGTTACTATTATGATACCCATTTTACAGATGGAGAGACTCAGGGACAGAGAGGAAAGTGATTTGCCAAGGTCACCCAGCCAGTAAGTGATACAGCTGGGACTGAAACCCTGATCTGCCCAACTCCAGAGTCTGAACTTTTAAACATGATAGCCATCCCCTCTCGGGGCACATGAGCTTGGATAAGGAACCCACAGACTTACAGAAGAGAGAGAACTAAGAAACCAGCCCTTTCTCCTTGAGATCCAAAGTTAGGGAGACCTGTTTGGATAAAGTATCCTGGACCAAGGATTGCTAATAAACATGACTCCAAGTGAATGCTCCATGAGGAATAAGGGAATCTGGCTGGCGATCTGGTCTCGTCGCTGAGTACCTAGGAGTCTGAGGAGAGGACCAGTTCTGGGAGAGCATGTGGCTGAAACCAGAAGCCCCTCTGTACTGAGCCCCCACAGTAGAGTCAATATTGAGCCATGACTGAATGTATGATTAGAAGCCAGGAAAGATGGGGTCTTCTATCTAAGTTTAAGGCCCCTCTACACTGCACAAGGATCTAAACCGTAAAGGACTCCACTGCATCGAGCGAAGCGTCCATGGGGTGGTGCAGAGCCGATGTTCAACAGCGACACCTTGTGGCAGCAACAAGACCAGTGCTAGTGTGCCCAACCGGTGCTCTAGCTCTCTGTCGCCACCTGCTGTTTGGACATAGGATGGACTCCTTTAGACTGAATAAGCCCCTGGGTTCTTGGATAATTCAAGACGGGAAAGCATCCAGAGGGGTTCCGTGAACTTCCAGGTAATAAATGCTTTGGGATGTTTCACTGTTGGAAAAACAATAGATTCGACCCATGTGAGATAATGTGTGTGAAGGGCTTAACATAGCGCTTGGCACATTGTAAGTGCTTAATACATGGGAGCTGACACAGTGATCAACCCTGCTCCAGCTGTTCCCTTGACTCCACTCCAAGCACTAGTCCTTGACAGAGACAGTAGCCCCCAATAGATGTGGCAGCCATGCCCAGAAGACCTCATGCCAGCTTTTGAGAAATGCCCAGAAACTCTCGAGGGTAGACACTGGAGGAAACTGGGATCCTCCCTGGTTAGGGGGGGTAGGATGCAGTGAACTGTGGACTCTTGTTGCTAATGGAACCCCTAGAATAGCAGGACCCAGGACACTCAGGCTCAGGAATACTCCTAGCAGCTGTCCCACAAAGCCAAGGTCAGACTGAGCATTGTCTCTCATCCATGTTCACCTCATGAGGCTGGCCTTTCCTCAGCTTTAGCAGTCCTGCAAAACCCGACCTTCTAGATGCTTTTCTTGACTCCAGGAGGTGAGTCTTCCTGGAGAGAGATCACTAAAGATGCCCATCAGACCGTGTGCACTCTTTAGGGAAGGATGCAGAGTCTTACTTCCTCAGTATCTCGGTGGGAGGAGAATGGGCTGTGGAGTCTGCAGACCTGGGTTCAAATCCCAGCTCTGACGCTTACTAGCAGTAGACCTTGGGTAAGTCACTTCACTTCTCTGAACCTCTGTTTTCTCATCTGTAAAATATGGATAAAAATACCTACCTTTGAAGCTGTTGCACAGATATGAACACGTGCCTATCAAACACCTGGCATTTGGCAGGTGTCTTCAGAGGGAGGTTGGCGTCATTCTGTGCTCCTGCATCTAGGATGGTGACCAGTGTATGAACGAATACAGGGTAAATGCCCTCACAGGTCCTTTTGTAAGTATTACTTATGTTTCAGGACCTGCACCACTTCCTAGCTGCGTGACCTTGGGCAAGTCACTTCTCTTCTCTGAGCCCCGTGTTCTCATCTATAAAATAGGGCTGTAAGTTACCCTCCAGCATTGCTGTGAAGACTCATGATGCCTGGCACAGAGTATGGACTCAAAAACATTAATCACCCCACCACCTCCCTTTATTTGACAGATGTGGAAACAGAGGCTCGGTGCGGGGGTGTGGTTTGCCCAAAGTCACAAAGTTAGGCAGTGGGAAAGCTGGGATTTGAATCTAGGTCTAGCTGACCCCAACCCTGGTCTCCTTCTACTAAAAATCAGAGCTGCCTCTTGGGAAGTAAAGAGTTCTTCTTCAGCCCAATTCTCTAGGGTTGTTTCTTGTTTTGTTTTTGTTTGTTTTCACAAAACGAAATGTCTTTACTGGACACCTGTTGTGGAAACAAGCTCAGCTCACACAGGACTTGAACTATGCGGGTAGAGGCCGATTGCCCACCCTGGCCCACCCATGGGTACCATCTGCAGCCACTCACGGTTTCATCTTGGACTTTTCTTCACTGGGGCTGTAATGCGGAAGCTGCACGTCGAAAATCCTCTCCATGAGGAAGGCGGCGTAGGCGTGGAAGTCCAGCCTGGTGCGAGGCTCCCACACCACCATGTCATAGGAGTGTGGGTCCAGGAGGACAGTGACATACCTGCCCCCCACCAGCACCTGGGAAGTTGGCAGGGATGCAGTGAGGAGTCCGACTATGAACAACAGCAGTTCTCTGAGGTCGACTTACCCCGTGACGGGCAGTGGCCCCACCAGCTACTTAACAGACAATGTCCCCTCATCTACCTCTCACAACCACCCTGTGAGGCAGGGACCATCATTCACCCATTTATAGCTGAAATGTGATAAGGCGTATAACGTGCCCAAGACCACACACCTGAGAAGTGGCAGAGCTGGGAAAGGAATTCGGCACTTTTTCTGAACCAAAGGTTATGCTCTTAACCACCTCACTTTTAAGCATCTTCCATGGTTATCTTGGTTAATGTCATATCTCCAGCAGCCAGGAGAGAGTCTGCCCACAGAAGCAGCAGATGGATGTGTGTGCATCGTAGGTGGATGGATGGATGGATGGGATGGATGGATGAATGTACAGATGGATGGATGGGAGGATGTCGGTGGATAAATGGATATATTATAGGTATGGGTGGGTGGATGGATGGATGAGTGGATAAATGGATGGAAGAAAGGAAGGAAGGATGGATGGATGTTGTTGGATAAATGCTAGTGGATGTGAAAGCAAAACCTTCTTTGGGAGGCTGAGCTCTGTATGTAACATGCTGCTCAGGACAGGAAGGAGACAGCACTGGAGAGCTATAATCCTGCAGTCAACAAGGGTGAGGGCATTTTCCCTCAAATGCGTGTGGAGGGGGTCACACAACTCCAACTACCCACTGCCTTAGCCTTGTTTTCAAAATGTGGTCTGTGAGTCATGGTCATCAAACCCTCTTATAAAATACAAGCCAATATCCAAGAAAAATGCTGTTGGATGGATGGTTAGATGGGTGGATAAATGGAAGGATAGATCATTGAATGTATGTTGGATGGAAAGATGGATGGATGGGCAGCTAGAGGGTGCTTGCAAACTAAATGTATGAATGAATGTTGGGTACATGGATGGCAGGATGCTAAGTGGATACTGGGTAAACAGACTGAGGGTGAATGTTGGATTCACTTCTAACCTCCAAGTTAGAAGGAGACGTGGAAGGTGGGTGGATGGAGAGAGATATAAATAGATGTATATAGAGTGGACAGACATTGGATATTGAAAGGCTAGATAATCAAATGCTGGGTGGTGGTGGCAGATGGATGGAAACATGGGCAGATAAGCAGAAGAATGGAAGTTGGTGGAAACTGAATATATGGTTGAAAGTTGGACGGCTGCTACGTCCATGAGTGGAAGAATGCTGGATAAATTGGGTAGACAGGTAGAGGAACAGATGATGGACAAGTGGATGGAGAGACAGATTTTGGGTAGATATTTAGAAAGATGGACGAATGAGTGGATAGATGGAGGTTGATGGAAATGGAATACATGAATGAATATTGGATGGATATTAAGACGGAAGAAGGCTGCTTAGATATTGGGCAGATAGGCAGAAGGACAGATGTTAGATGGATGGGTGGATGTGGGACAGATGGAAGTTGAATGAATGGATAGAGGTCGGTTAGATGAACACACAAGGATTGGATAATATTAAATGACTGCATAGCTGCATGCTGGGAAGACGCTAGAGGGATAATGAAGGGATGAATGTTAGATAAACGTTGGATGTACAGTTGGATAGGCATATAGAAAGTTGGCTGGACCACTGGATGGTTAGTGTATGGATGGGTATTGAAGAAATCAGTAAACACCAGGTTTAATAGGCCCAGCTGCTCATCCCCTTCCCTCCCAAGAGGCAAAAGAGGCACTTACAGTAAAGATATCACCATGCTTCTCCTTCATCCTAGTGAGGAAGCTGGCGGCATCCTTTCCAAACTCCAAAGCATAGCCCAACCAGGGGATACTTCCCAGGTCCAAGGGGGGCTCTCCAGGTCGCCTGCAGAAGCCACAGCACTTATCACCATTTGATAAACCAGGGAAGAGGATAAAGAGTGTGGGGCATGGCGTGAGATTTTCAGTGGAGAGGAAGGCTTCCCTGAGGAGACATTTGACCAAAGACCTGAAGGCGGTGAGGGAGGGAGCCACATGGATATCTAAAAGAAGAGCTTCCAAGCAGAGGGAACAAGTGCAGAGGCCCCTAAGCTGGATCATGCCTGGTGTGTGCAAAGGACAGTGAGGAGGCCAGGGTGGCTGGATGTGGGAACAAGATGTGTACAGTAGAAGGTGAGGCCGGAGCAGTAACAGGGGCCAGACCATGCAGGGCCTTGTAGGCAGCTCTGAGGACTTCAGCTTTTGCTCTGAGTGAGAGGGGAGCCATCGGAGTTTGAAGCAGAGGAGGGACAGGGTTTGGCTTTGGTTTTTACAAGGGGCTTTTGGCTGCTGAGCAGGGAATAGACCACAGAGGGCTGAGAGCAGAAGCTGGGGTACCAGTTGATGTTCGTACATACTGGGGGGTCCAGTTAAGGTGGTCACCTCTCTGCAGGTAGGAGAACCTTCCAGAACCCAGTAGTGTTAGGATACAGAGTTCTCTGTATGAGCCAGCATGGACCAGGGTCCTGGTCATCTCACACTTCCTCTCATGCCCACCGAGAAAGGGTAAGGCTGGAGAGCATGGCTGGATAGCAGGAGGTGGTAGAAGAACTACCCTGTCGCTGACCCCTGACTGCCCCTCTCCAGCTCAGAATCTGAGGTATCTCAGGAGGCCAGACGCCATGCCCATGGCCTGTGGGGATGCCGCAGGGGTACAGGTAGCTCAGCCAGGGGGTAGGAAGGTTGTGTGTGATATTCAAGGTCAAAATCTCATCTGTGAGAGCAGAGGGACTCCTCTGAGGATATAATAACATATCTACACCTCACTACGGTGGATGGAATTCTAATATGACTACAATGACCTACAACTGAGTGAGGGAGATGGTACAGTTGACTCTGAGAAAGGATGATTCTTCTTAGTGGATCTGACCTAATCAGGTAAGGACAGGGCTTACAAGGGGCAGGGATCTTCCTGGCAAAAGAGACTGAGATTTGGCATAAGGGAGATTCTTTGCTGCTGGCTTTGAAGATGGAAGGGGCCACATGGCAAGGAATGCATGGGGCCTCTAGGGGCTATGAGTGGACCTTGGCTGACAGCAAGCAAGGAAATGGGGACCTCAGTCCCACAGCCGCAAGGAGCTGAATTCAGCCAGATTCTTCCCTGGAGGTTCCTGATAGGAAGGCAGCCTGGCCAACACCTTAATTTCTGCCTTGTAAGACTCTGGACAGAGAACACAGACACACTGTACTGGACTTCTGATCTACTGAAGTGTGAGCTAATAAATGGGTGTTGCTTCAAGCTCCCAACTATATGGTAATTTGTTACACAGCAAGAGATAACTAATATACTCAAACTGACATTGCACTTGCACTGGGCCCTGCCCTCGGCCAAGCATTTGATATATGAATGTCTCATCTCATCCTCCCCAACCACCCTCTGAGGGAGGGGCTACATTCACACCTTCACCAAATATTAACTATGAAGCAGGCATCGTCCTGGGTGCTGGAGATACAGGAGTGAACAGGGAAGATGAGGTGGAGGGCCCTGACCTCACAGGGCTTACATACTAATAAGCGGAGACAGACAAAAACAAAGAAGCAATATCATTTCAGAGAGCGAGAAGTGTGATGAAGAAAATAAAGGAGATAAAACGTGACAATGAAAAGACAAATAACCCAATTTAACAATGCACAAAAGAATCTGAATGGACAGCTCTCCAAGGAAGATATACAAATGGCCAGTAAGCACATCAAAAGATTCTCAACATCATTAGTCATTGGGGAAATGAAAATCAAAACGACAAGCAGTACCATTTCAAATCCACTAAGATGGCCATAGTGTTAAAAAAAAAAAAAAAAGGAAATAAGTGCTGGGAAGACTGTGGAGAAATGGGAACCCTCATGTATTTCTGGTGGGAACGTATAACGGTGCAGCTGCTTTGGAAAGTCTCGCAGTTTCTTGAAAGATTAAAAGAGTGACTATGTGACCCAGCGATATACCCCAAAGAACTGAAAACATAAGTTCATACATAAACTTATACACTATTGTTCACAGTGTCATTAATCATAATAGCCCCAAAGTGGAACCAACCCAAATGTCCACCGACAGATGAATGTATAAACACAATGTGGTGCATTCATACGGTGGAACATTATTCAGTCATGAAAAGGAGTGAAGTACTGATTCACGCTACAACTTGGAAGCACCTCAAAACCATCATGCTGAGTAAAAGAAGCCAGACACAAAAGGCCACATAGGGTATGATTCTATTTCTATGAATGTCCAGAGAAGGCAAATCAATGGGGACAGGAAGTAGATTCGTGGTTTCCAGAGTCTGAGGGGAGGGTGGAATGGAGAGTGACCGCTCACGGATACCAGGTTTCTTTTTTAGAGTGATGGATGTATTCCAGAGTTAGATAGTGGTGATGGGTGCACAGCCCTGTGGCTATACTAAAAACCACTGAATTGTATATTTTAAAAGGGTGAGTTTTATAGTATGGGAAATACATCTCATTAAAGAAAAAAGAAAGAAGGGTGATACGAGATAGTGGGGAGGCGCTAGTTTAGAGAAGGTGGTCAGGGAGGGCCTTTCCAAGGAGGTGCCATGTGAGCAGAGACTGGAAGGAAGAGTGGGGAGAAGAACCTTACAGGCAGAGGGAACAGCAAGTGCAAAGGCCCTGGGGCAAGAGTGCACTTGGTGATGTTCTCAAGACAGCAGGAGCCGCTGTGGCGGGAGTGGAGGATGTGGGGGTGAAAGACTGGAAATGATCTGGGGACCAAGAAGGCCAGTGGCAGGACAGAGTCTGACTTTTATTACAAGTGTGGTGGGAACCCTCTGGAGGGTAGGATTTAGGAAGTGATGTGATTTAGGAAGTGATGTGATTTAGGAAGTAGGATTTAGGAAGTGATGTGATTGTGCTTTTAAAAGGTTGCAAGAGGGAATTCCTTGGCGGTCCAGTGGTTAGGACTCCACGCTTCCACTGCAGGAGGCACAGGTTCAATCCTTGGTCAGGGAACTAAGATGCCGCAGGCTGCGCAGCGCGGCCAAAAAAATAAATAAAGGTTGCAAGAGCGAGAGGTGGGAGGGAGATGTGTCAGGAGACTAAAGCAATTACGGTGGGAGTGGAGGCTGTGATCCTCCAGGAGCCAGGCCTAGCATCCGACTCGTCCACTTCCAGGTTGGGGGTTTTTGTGCCATCCCCAGAAGTCCAGGGGGGACCACCTTCCCTTCATCCTTCTTCCCCTCCCTGTCTACGTTCTTCCACCATGGCCTCCTGCCTCCTCAGTCTGACTGTCCCCCAACATAACCCAAAGCGGGGAACAGGTGGTGGACAGAGAGACTGGCTAGATTTGAGGGCCAGAGTTTGGGAAATATGGAAGCAGAACCAGAGGTGAGGGTTGAGGGCATTAGGAAGTGCCTCCCCCCACCCACTTCCTCCTCTCGCCCCACTCCCACCCTGCCTCTGAGCCCATCATTGAGGAGACTCGCAAAGGTGCAGCTCGGGGATTCTAAGGGGGTGCTGGGGACGTGCCAGGACCCTTCCTTTCCCCTCGCCTCTCTGTGAGCCAGCTTCTTCTGAAGGCTCCGTTTAAAGGCTGGCACAGCACAGGGCTGGAGGAGCCCAGTGTGCACCAGCCCTCTTCCAGTCCAGGTCTAAGCCCAGAGACAGGACACAGCAGCGGCGATTTTTGCACAAGAGGCAGGAGGGCAGGATGGTTGTTATGAGCCTGACTTTAGCACCACACTTCCTGGCTTCAAATCCCAGCCGTGCTTCTTGCCGGCCGTGTGACTTTGCTTCCCCACACCTGTTTCCTCACCTGTAAAAGAGGAGTGATGACATTACAGACTACACTGGGCTGTGATGAAGATGAAAGGGGCTATAGAACAGTGCTTGGCACCTGGCAACCGGGGAGCAGCTGGGGTGGGTCTGAGAAGCAGGACCAATATGACTCCCGGGTGCCATTTCTTGAGCAACGGCTATATGCCAGGTGCAAAGGTTTCCTTGCTTGGTAATGATGGCGGATACTTGATGAGCCCTGACTGTGTTATCCTTTGAGGAAGGAAGCATTGTATTTCTATCAAGCCCATTTTACAGCAGATGAAACTGAGGCACAGAAGGGGCTGAGCCACTTGCCCGAGGGCCCACCGTGGAGGGTCTGGGTTTCTAACCCAGGCAGGCCTGGCTGCAGAGCCCACACTCTTGATGCTACCCTGGCCCCAAGTCACCCCAAGTGGACATCTGCACAGCCACTTTGCAGGTGAGGAAACTGAGACACAGAGAGGTTCCAGCGACCTTCCCAAGCGCAGGGCCTGAGACCTTCCCCTAAGACATCTTTGGGGTGTGGGTGGGGCTTCCTTCCCCTGCCTTTCACTCTGGCTGCCACCAGAGCTCCCCAGCGAGCCTGGTGTTATTTCTGGCAGCACTCATCTTTCCCCTGAAAAGTTCCAAGGAGCTGCGGACAAAGGCAGGAAGCTGATTCCTGATGTGCCAGAGGCTCCTTCAGCCCCCGGGCCCTGAATCCAACTGAGGCCCAGGTCACATTCCAGGGTGACTCAGCCAGAGGCCAGCAGGGGCGAAGGAGGCTCTATTTTGGGGTCTGCGGTCTCTAGCCTCCCTCATGGACACTCTCACTGTTCTGAGGCAGGGATGCAGGGCGTGACCCTCTCATCCCCAGCTGCTGCCCACACGGCTGATCGCTGCCTTCCCTTCCTCCTCTGTAAAATGGGGGTAACAAGAGTGCCCCCATCTCCAAGTTAGGAGAAAATGAGATTGGGGGCCTAAATTCCGGCCCCTGTGGGGTCTCCCAAGGGTCCACGCAACTCTGCCCCCCCAGGGTCCACACTACCACCCGCACAACTGTCAGTGACCCCCATTCCCACACTTCTCCCCAGTACCCCACCTGGTGAAACTGCTAAGCTGCCCACAGGTATAAAAATCAACAACTCACCCTCAAAGACAAATTAGCTCTCTGGATTGATAGTAAGAATTAGCTAAAATAATGTTTGGCATTCCTTCTAATCCAGCAATTCCACCCTCACCTACTATTATCGTCATCATTCCCTGTTTTGTTTTGTTGGGGTTTTTTTGGCAGTGCCGTGCGGCCTGTGGGATCTTAGTTCCCTGACCAGGGATCGAACCTGTGCCCCCTGCAGTGGAAGCACGGAATCCTAAACACTAGACTGCCAGGCAATTCCATCATCATTCCCATTTTAAAGACTGGGAAACTGGACTTCCCTGGTGGTCCAGTGGTTAAGACTGCGCTTCCACTGCAGGGGGCGCAGGTTTGATCCCTGGTTGGGGAACTAAGATCCCGCGTGCCGTATGGTGTGGCCAAAAAGAAAAACAGCATAAAGATTGGGAAACTGAGGCAGAGAGCAGTTACTCAACTTGTTCTTATTCCTGGAGGCTGGGAGTTTCCATATGCTAAGCACCCAGGTACCCAGCCTCCCAGAATCCATGTATTCTGTGGCTGCCCTCATCTGCCCCAGAGAAAAGCACAGACTAGGAGGCCCCACAGGATGAGCCCAGCACATTGTCTGAAATAGCAAAAACACTGGAAACAACTTGAGTCCCTCAATAGGGACAGGAATAAAAGGGAAAAAAGAAACCTGCACCTATTCATACTATGGAATACTACACAAAAAATCGAAAGAATGAATTAGATCTCCACATAGCAACATGGACGGATGTCAAAACGAAAATCTGGAGTGAAAACAGCAAAGGTACAGTCTGAAAACAATTCTGTACAGAGTTTCCAAAAAGCCTGACAACTTAGGAAAAATAATTTATTTCTCTATAAGGAAACTTATCTGTAGCCTTTTTCGTTTTCATTTTTCCAGGCAAATGATTGAATGTATGGTGTTAAGTTTCACCTGGAAAGGTGTCCAGAGGTTGAAGAAAAATATCGTGAACTCACTGTGTGGAAATTCAACTAACACATTGTTTAAAAATAAAAGGTTTCCAGAAAATTTCTGGAATTTTCAGACACTCTGATTTAAACACACACACACCACACTTCCACTGCCCTGTGTTATCTACGAGCTAATGTCTATGCGTATGAGAATAATTTTTAAAACAGCTGGGAGGCTGAGGAGATATGACAACCAAAGGCAGTACCCTGGATGAGATCCTAGCACAGAAAGAAGACGTTAACGGAAAAACTGATGAAATTCAAATAAAGTCTGGAGTTTGGTTAATCGTAACAGACCAGTGTTGGTTTTTTTAGTTTTAATGACTGTACCATGATGATGTAAGAGGTTAACAATAGCAGGAACCGTGAGGGGTATTTGGGAACTCTTTGTACAACTTTTCTGTAAATATAAAACCAGTCTAAAATAAAAAGTCTAAAATAAAAAATCTTTTTAAAAGATCTGGGAGGTTCCTCTCAAATTAATCAACAGTAGAGGTCCTGAATTGTCGGAAGAGTGGTTAGAAGGGCTTCAGTCTTATTTACAATGGGATAAATGCTTAAGTCGAATGTATTCCTTGTGCAATTCAAATTAATTTTTTAAATATTTTATAAAAAGAAAAAGATCTATACTGCCATCTCCTTGATTTGAGATAGGTGAGTTTTACTTTTCTCCTAAATCGCAGATTCTCAATGGAGCAGGAGAACCTTGGGGACTAGGAAGCTGAGGCGTTTGGTTCTGGTTCTACTCTGCCCGAGTAGACCTCAGCAGAAGGGAGACCCCTTTGTGGGCCTGAGTTTCTCTGGCAGAGGGAAATACCGAGCCTACTCAGCCCCTGCATCCGGATCGGGGAATCCTGTGGAAGGTGGTTCCAGGGCCGGTAAGAGGGCATCGTTCAGGGCCTCTGCCTTCCCCAGCCTCAACTCTGCCGTCTGTGTAATGGGGGTGAGAGCAAGCCTGGGGGGCGAGTTGGTGCACGATCCAGACAGAGGCTGAAGAGCGGGACGGGGCTTCTTCCACCGGGGGTCACACCGAGCATGTCCACGCACCCACTGTGCACCCGTGACTCTCGGTTCTCACCTGCAACCCCCTTGCAGGTCCCAGGCACCGCTCTCTGAGCCAGGCCCGGGCTTCTCGCGCCCCGGCCGAGCGAGTGTGTGCGGTGGATGAGCAGCCCTCTGGGGCTCCTGTCCCTGCACCTTCCCGCGCGCGTCTCCCCAACTCTGAGCCCTCTTTAAGCTCTCTGGGCCTGGCCCCCTCGCCGGGGCGGGGGAGGGGCGCGGAAGCCCCTTCGGCCGGACACTTGGACTCCCACCTCCAGGCTCGCCCGGGGGGTGTAGGGGACGGTGGGAAGAGGATCCCCTCCTGCCCGGGGGACTGGAGCGGGGGCTCCGACGTGGACCTGCCGCTGGCTCGGCGACCCCCTCGTTGCAGCCGGGGCGCGGGCCTGAGCGGAGACGACCCTTTGTCTGGCCGGGGGCGGCGCTGGCGGGCGGGGGTGGGGGGAGCCGGGGGTAGGCCGGGCAGGGCACTCACCGCGTGCGCCGGCGGGTCAGCAGCAGCAGCAGTAGCAGCGCGGCCAGAAGCCCGAAGACCACGGCCCAGGACATGGCAGGCCCGGCGACCAGGCTGCGGCTGCGGAACGCCGGAGGCGACCGGGCTGGCTTGGGGGCCACGGGGGCCCAGTCCCAGAGCCGACCCCGCCCCCACGCCCCTCCCTCTCCCCCCGCCCACCCGCATACGGGCGCGGGCAGGGCCTGCGATCCCTCCCAGGTCCAGAGGGGTGGGTGGGGTGGCTCTTGGAGGCTCCGTTCGTCTCAGCTTCTACGGGACGGGCTCCGACTCCTGGCCCAGGAAAGGGTGGGAGGGATGTGCGTGGAAAATGTGGGTGCGGGGGACGGGAGGGATGGTGTAGGGGAAAGGGAAGGGATGTGCAGGGAGGGAGGGGTTACGCGGGGGTGTGGGGGAGGAATGGGGGATTTGGGGAAGAGGAAGGAAGGGAATATGGGGGGACGGAGGGGTGATGGGGATAGAGAAAGTGTGAGGATGAGAGGTCAAGCGGTGGCAGAGGAGGGATTGGGGGTGGGAGGGGACTGGAAGGGCCTTTCCTCCACATTCCACCTAAACAGTCTCCACCACTCTAGCCGCCCCCCGCCCCTCACCCATCCCATCCCCACCCCACCCCGGATGGGCTAGAGTCCATTAGTTTTCTATTCTGTTGGTCTGGGCGGAGTGGGGTTGTACCGCCCCCTATTTTACCTTCAATAACTACAGTGGAGGGGGCACAAGAGCTCAGAGCACCCCGCTCTGAGTCCCTCATCTGCAACTGCTGTAAGGGACAATAAGTGTACATCACCCACGTGTACCTGCAGCACAGCAGGGGCTCAGAATATGGTGGACATTGTCACATTACCTGGTGCTTAGGGTGTTGGCCTCTGGTGCCAGTGGCTCTGCAAGAGACCACCCCTGGGCACTGGCGAGAACCTGGGCTCCCAGCTGGAAGCGTCTGGACCTCACTCCACCCTCTCCACTCCCTACACACACCCCACCCCACTTACACCTGGGAAACCTTGGCCAGGGAACTTACCCTCTCTTAACCCGCTTCCTTATCTGGGGACAGAGGTCAGACTTGTACTTTACCTTAGGGGGTTGCTGTGAAGAATTGATGAGAGCTTGTCAGTAGAGGGAAGTGCAAACTAGGAGTGCAGGGCACATGTGAGTTTTGTGAGGCAGTGAGCAGAGTGTGGAGCTGGGACCCAGAATGTCTGATTCTAATCCTTGGGCTGTTGCTCACTGCTGGGTGAATTGAGACAGGTTTCATTTCATCTTACCAATAGCCCCCAGGCTGAGCTGTTACTCCTCCCTGGTCTCCTGGCTTCTGCCCTCATCTCTCTGCAGTCCATTCTCCCCGCAGTTGTCAGAAGAATCCTGCTAGAACCTAAGTCAGATCCTCTACTGAATCCTGCTCAGAACCCTCCAGGGCTCCACCTCACTCAGAGCACAGCCCAAGTCCTTACAAGGTCCTGTAAGGACTTGATCTGCCCCCTCCCACCTCTACCTCCCTGCCCTCATGTCCTCCTACTCTCTGCCTCACCCACTCTGCTCCAGCCACACTCATCTCTCACCCTGCCCCAAGTGTTCCAAACTCACTCCCACCTCAGGGCCTTTGCACTTGCTATTCCCTCTGATTGGAACACTCTTCTCTCATATACTTGCACAGCTGGCTTTTATCATCACATCCCTCATCCCTCTGTCTCTGCTCAGTTGTCAACTGCTCAAAGAAGCCCTTCCTGACTGCCTGGTCTAAGGCAGTCACATCAGCCCTGTCTATTGCCTTGAACTGTTTTGGGGTTTGTTTTTTTTTTCCTTGACGGTACTTAACATTTCCTGCTATCATATTAGAGCTTCATTTATTTGTCTGTTTAATGTCGGCTGTCAAGGCAGTTGGATGACCCTCATGTGGCCTCAGCAGACTGAGAAGAGCAAGAGGCAAAAGGAGTTTCTTGAATCTCTTGTTTATTTATCCAGCTTACCCACCAGCAAAGCTGACAATCCCAAAAAGGCCACAGAACAGGCCTGGAGGATTTTCTCCAAATTTGGGGAGCCCCACGGGACAGCCTTCTGGCAGTGGGGTTCACAGTCCGGCTTGGCCAATACTAAACCATGTGACCTCAGGCAGTCTGCTCCACCTCCCTGAGACTAGGTGCCTCATCGGTGAAATGGGGATGCAGTGAAGAGTAAATGACCTAATCCAGGTGACACACTTGTCAGCGTGCCGGACGCACAGTGAAATTTAGTGGGGGTCAACTGCCATTAGCACTTAATTCCAATCCAGCCTCTCACCATATGTGTGATCAAGGCTTGGTCTCAGTTTTCTTATCTGAGAAATGGGGAGAACAGTTCCTTCCTCACAGGACAGTTGCACCCAGCATGGGGCCTGGCACACAGTAGGTGCTCAATAAATGTTAGCTCTCCAATCCCACACCACTGGCTTGAGTGCAAACTAGCATCACCTCAGTCCAAGTCCCCCCCAAATAAAATGTCCCTCTTCCCCCCTCAGCCCAGGGGCAAAATCCCGCCCCACCCCCCCCAGGGAAGGAGGCCAGCTGCTCACACACCAAAGAGGGAAGAAGGTTTTGGGGCCCCTGGCTTCTCCCTTGCTATCAGAATCTGATTTTGTTCACGAATCAAGCAGGTGTTTAGGAAGATGGCCCCACCCCCTTCCCACAGAATGAACCAGCGTTGGTCTGAGCCAGCCAGGGACATCCCTCTTTGCTAGGGATTGGTCCAGTGGTGGCCACGTGAGCACCATCTGGACATTTGTTGGGGGCTTCTGGGAATTTTTCCCCTCCCTATTCTCCTCCTTTTCTTTGGGGACCATTGTGTAAGGATGTGATGGTGGGGATATTATGAGGGAAGGCCAGGAAAATGGCAGAACCCCAAACCAGAGCTGCAGAAGAACCATTCCTGGAACCACTTACCCCCAGACTTATTGTTTAATGAGATAATCAAATGCCTTTGTTGCTGAAGACACTGTGAGTCAGATTTTCTCTTACTTGCCGCCAAAAACTTTCCTAACTAAGATGACTTCCAGTTATGGCTGTGCCAAGGACAACGTGACGTAATCATGTATCCAAAGCACCTTGCCCGTGAGGAGCATTCAAAAATGTCACTTCACCTCCTTAGTTTTGCTTTTTGTTTTTTCTTTTGCAGCTCAGTCTTTCTATGCCTATTGGGCTAATGGGGCATCCAACTTTCTGCTTATGGCATCTTGCAGGGACAGGCAGGCTCTGAAAAGTAGCAGATATTCCAAATTCCCCTGACTCGTGAGGACTAACAGGGCCCTGCAGAGGACAGGGCTGGTATGTCCTCAAGAATGAAGAGGAGGGAAGACACCCCAAGAGTGACCCTCAGCCCATGGTGAAGGGCTTGAGAGCCAGGCTCAAATCCCAACATTGCCCACTCCCTTGCTGTATGAAACCTAAGCAAGTCACTTCACCTCTCTGAGCCTCAACTACCTTATCTGTGCAGTGGACGTGTTGCTGGTGGTGGTGATGAAATCCCAGCGGGATTTCAAACCCAGCATTTAAGACTTCATCTGAGAAGTGAAGCCCACATGTCAGGTGGACCTCAGGAAACCCCTCCTTCCATTCAGCTCTACCAGGGGCTGCCAGCCAGTGACAAGCATCGGACTTTCCCCTGTAGGAGTCTCAGTATGTCCAGATGTCTGCTGTCCACTAGAGCCAAGATATCTGGGCAAGTCTCTGGCCCCGCCTGACCTCCACTCTCTTATCTGGCTGCTGTAAGGTCATAAGGGTAATGTCAAGCCCCAACCCCTTCAGAAAATGGGGGGCTTCGCTTGGGAAAGGACAGCCCTTCCAGCCCTATACCCCTGCTTCCTCTCTTCCAGGAACCAGGTCTGGTTCATGTCTGCGTCCTAAAGGCCACAAACCAAATGTGTCAGGAAAGGAAAACATGTGTGTTGCCTTCTTCAAAGCTGAAAACCAGCCCCATCAGAGATAGGCAGCTGTAAATACTTCCGTAATTATAGCTCTAACTTCAGTTGGTAATTTGGGCCATTCAAAACACTTTCTCATATTTACTCACTGAATCTCTACAAAGGCCTTATAAAATGGGTACTATTATTATTCCCAATGTGCAGATGGTGAAACCAAGGCCCAGAGAGGCTCAGTAACTTACCCAAAGTCACACAACACTTCCTTTCATAGGCTGGAGCCTGGGAGTTTGATGCCCTCTGAGGACAGGCTATTTTCCCTGTGGTGTGAACACACCGGGGGCTTTCCCACCCCCATAGCTTTACTCATGCTGTTTACCTGCCTGGAAGCCTTCTCTTTCTCTTCCTTTTGGTTTATCCAAATCTGTTATGGGAAGGTGTGTTAGTTCAGGTCCTCTGAGACAGCCAAGATGAGACGAGACATACAAGAAATTTACTGGGGAAAAGGCCAGGGAGGAAACGAAGGGGGAAGCCAGAGGAGGCTGGAAGAAAGGGAAGGAAGGAAGGAAGGAGGGAGGGAAAGAAGGGAGGAAGATTGGTTGGCTGTAGACCACAGGGCAGTTCTAAAAATGTTCAGTAAGTCTGACAGGAAGTCCTTGAGCCTCTAGAGGAGCCCTGTGTCTCCAGGAAATGGGCCTGCCTTGGGATCCCTTCCTCCCTCTGTGATTAACTGGCAGAAGCCCCTGGGAAGCATGGCCTCCACTCAACTATGAGGATGAATCCATGATCCATCTGTCAACTAGGCTCCACACAGAAGACTTGAGAGGTACCTTTTCACAGCTGCTGAAGTGAAGAAGTACATCTGCCACCTAAAACAACAACCAAAAAAACAGCAACAAAAAAGCTGACTATATATGCTTCTATAGGCATGAACCAAATCAGTGCAAGAAGAAATTCTTCCACTTTCAGAAGCTGGGCCAGGTTGAGAGTGGAGGGGAAGGAGAGACCAAAGGTGCAAAGCTGCTATTGCTTTTGTGCTGCCAAAGAGAGGGTGGCAAACTCAAGTCTCCAAGCAAGTAAGGTAAGTGAATGAAGCGAGCCTGTCATATCAGGGAGGCAATAGGGAGGAGTGGGGACAGTGGAAAACTGGAGAGCACCACCCCATCCAAAAGGAAGCTGCCTCTACTCAGTTTAGCCAACTGTGGCCATGCAGAAATATAGCCCAGTGTGGCCAGGTCTTCTGATTCAAGAGAAGCCAGAAAT